CGCAAATAAATTTGTTTTCAACTTCACAGTACAGATTCCAAGAACACAGGATGAGATGTTACTATCCTTTGTGCAAGCACTTCCAAGAGTTCATGAACAGTGAGCTTGGTGAAATTTGGGTGGGGAGCGCATCGTCAGTCGTGTACCTTTGGTTCCTAGGGTGTTTTGGCCTTTCATACTATACACCCTCCCCAAAGGCGGCCAGCGACAGGGTGATCAATCCTACGCTTGCGTCCCATTCCCAATTAGTCATAGGAGTTGCCTTGTTGTTGATAGCCAACATCAGAGTACATGCACTCTCGTTAACAAAAAACCCAACCCAGGCACGCTCATTTTCAGTGGCCCCACCGACACCGAAACTGCCCTCGTCGCCAACTTCCTCAACTGTGCACGTTCCGAAAAGGATAATTTTCGAAAGTTAACAACTTCCTCTTTGTCGGAGGCCTGCTGGAGAATGCTGGGTGTCTATTTCATTTTCATCACGACGGCACTTTAGAAGAAGAAAAAAACTAAGCCACGAGTGGTGTGACAATCCCCCCCCCCCCCACTGCTGCCCCGAGGGGGGGGGGGGGGGCAAGGTGCCTACCCGGGCGCAAACATCAACGGCTTAGCGCCATTCCTCTCAGGGGCCACCCGGATTGGTGGGAGCAGACCATCTGATATCCCTCGCCCCAAATCTCGCAACGCTCGATTTGGCCACCCCCCCCTTCGCCATAACGAAACCACGATGTGTCTTACACGGGGGGAAATGGCCAAGGGCAGCACCGTCACAGGTAAAGCCACCACCGCCGCCCAGCAAAGTCGCGGCGGTCGAAGCCACAATGCACTGCGGGTTTTCATGACTGCGGTAAAGAAAGAACCGATCGAACTGCAGCGCCGTCGTTGTCACATTGCTGCCGCTCTTGCCAGTGACGAGTGCCATAGCAATCTCCTCATGCTGTAATGTTCTGCTAATTGCTTTTGCCCTGAGCCATTGGTGGAAATGCCACATTTCTATGTTAGGGTGCAGCCTATCCTCCGATTAGCACGGTTGGCTATGTACGGTGCGAAATAAGTTCAACATACATACATCCTTTGGACCACCCCCGATTTCAATAATTTCACGCAGTATTTACTCACTCTCTGAGAGATAGAGGGGATGACTCTGGAGGAGCGACGAACCAGACAAGTGGGAAGACAGCCACGCGGCGAGCCACCCCCAACAATTGCCCAAGCTCTCTATATATTTATACTACGTGAATTAAGGTGTTATCGGCCAATTAATTACGAGGAAATGGGAGCCCCTGGGGAAAACCCCATGCAGGAGGGGGAAACACTATCCCCTATATGGACGCAACAGGTGGAATACACATTTCTGCTGCACTGCATTCTCCTGGCGAGCCATGGTATGACACCTCAACAACCCCGCGAAGAGCGTTTCACAACATTCACGCGCCCCACCGATCCTCGCCTCCACAGGACCGGATTACGGGCATGCGCTGCCACCACCGCCCGGCCATCAAAAGGTTTATCTCAGCCGAGAATTGTTTTGCTTCGAGCCGTGTGGTAAACCCACTGCTGGATGAGGGCCTCCCCATACCATGCGGGTCGCGGGGGGGTTATTCGACTCTACTTCAAAACACGGGAGACTCGTGTAATAACACATATAATTGCATTCTTGGAAATGCAAAGCCGATCCATAAACTTCTACTGGCGCGGCCTTGCGCAAATACAAAGCTCCTCACAATCATGGAGCCGAGGCACCTGCGTGATAGCAGCAGGCTCTAACACCTGCCAGAAAACGCCGTTCCTTTGCTTTCCCAGACTCGAGCGCCGTGGTCCCGCCTGGGCAGTGACAAGCGGGGAGGGAAATAGCCCGGACACGTGGCCAGCGGGGTTTTCCATAGCGTCAATAAAGTGAGTAGGTAAATAACCAAATAAATGTCTGGTGCGTCTGCCCTTGCGATGCCCGGCCAGGGTCGTTGCTCGCATTCCACCGGCTCGTAGGGAGACTCCTTCCCTTCCCTTCCCTAACTGCCCTTCTTTCCGCAACCCCCACCCCGAAGCCAAACTGACAGCCGAACGACAAACGGTGGAATGGCCATCCAGGAAACAAATGTGTGGATGGGGGGGGAAAAAGCCCAATCGCCACCAGTGTAAGCAAAAAGGGGAAAAATATATAATGCAGCACGTCACACGTCGCACGCGCGCTACGGTTGGTTTAGCGTGGGTCGTTATCAACCGAGAGCGACCGTCAAGGTCACACCGTGACAGAGAACGCGCTGGCTCGATCGCTCGTTGTGAAAGGAGCAGAGTGTTGGAGCGCAGTGGAGATAAAGGAGCCGGCGTGCACCCGTTCACGTGTGTGCGTCCAAGCGCACACACGCTTGAGCGAAACGCAAAGGCACGTGCGTCAAACTAATGTCTGCCGCTCTGCGAGAGCTCCTCGTGGTCAGGCCATTTGCCGCGTTGGCAGCGAGGCCCATGCGTTTTCCAGCGCCCCCGTTGCGTAACTCCGCGGCGCACCTTTATACGGAGGTGTCATGGAAGCTTCCTATTGGCTGCACGATGCTGCTGGATGCAGTGCCGAGGGTGCACAATGAGTCGGGGCAGGCACAGGGGCAGTTCCCGTTCCAAAGCTCACGCGTTCGCTCATCGTCGGTTTTCAACTGCAACGTTTGAACGCTGCAGGAAAACTTGGCTGAGGCTGCACTTTGCCGTGGGTTAGCGCTTCCGAAGCGCACAGTGGAATCCAATTTACGGGGCAAAGAGTAGCGAGTGGGCGCAAAGTCCTCTCTCCAACAACACCACGTTTTTTATGACACCCTTGCTCACCGAGGTGAACGTCAAAAGTTTTTAGAGAATTCATTTCTTTCTTACGCCACTGCTCGAGGGAGCAATAGAGAGCCCCTCAATAGCGTATTTGGGCCGAAGCTTCTAGGATGGCCAGACATCTTGGAAGAAGTGGGAGTACCCACACTTCATCCCACCACATGCGACCAGCCAATCGATCAACCGCGGTGAACCCATTTACACTGCTGAGTGGACAGAGGCGGGGAGATATATGAAACTTGCAGCGTTGTATTAACCGCCATGCCGGGAAATGAAACAAGCGACCTTTGGGTTGCAAGTTCAGTCGTTGCTAACAATTCATCACACCACAGTGGAACGATGCAGCAGCCAGACGCTTCGAGATCAGGGCACGCTGCGATTACAAAAATTATTGAGATTGCAACAAAAGTCGATGACCGCAAGAGTAGGAAAATGCCATAACCGAACCACAAGACGCAGCTTGCGTGTGTTTTTGATCGTGACGAAGCTGCGAGACGATGCGTCCGAGCGCAAGGGACCAAGTGGAAAATTCTTGTACCTGGCGCGTGCCCCTTTGCGCCACAATATGGAAACCTTGCGATGGAAAGTGAGCAGAGGCTTTCAGGGCTTGAGGGAAGGTGGGCGGGCGCTTTGGGCGTGTTACGGCTGGGATGAGGGATAATAAAGAGGCTTTTTTTATATAGTGACAGAAAACCGGTTCCGATGCGAAAGTTTCCACTGGTTTTGGCTGGCGAGACAACCCCCAGTATCACGCGCTCCCCACCAGACATATTACCCTCCCCTTAATCAAAACAAATCCCAACAATGTTAACTTCCGTACAGTTTAACTCTTTTTCTTGTTGCTTTACATCCACAGGGCCATGCGTCCTGCGCTTTCTGCGTCACTCACAAGTTCTATACAAACCCTGCACATGACCTCATCACAGAAAGATGTTATTGTGTAATAGAGGCCCACACATCCAGTCTTAATGTTTGGCGGATGACTTTAATGCTGTGCTCACACTTCCGGCTGAAAATCGTAAGCCAAACGGCAATGCCAAAATTAACAGTCCCAGACCATTTAAAAAAAATAATCTCATCCATGTCAAACAAATGCGCTTTTTAAATACGGATGGAAACGCATACACTGCAACTGTTTATCCGTGGCACGCCATGGGAAGGGGTGTAGAGCCACGAATATAATGTGTGGAAAAAGGAAAAGGGACGGGAAAGGATGCCAGGACGGAAGTTCCCAAAACGACCAAAGAGGGCACGGCTCAAGATGAGCCGCGGAAAGAAAGGAGTAGCGCCGGGGCAGGCACGGGAGGAGGGGGAGAAGGAATGACCGTGCCAAGATGTCGGGGATGAGAGGGGAGGGAAGAGAGGAGGAAGGGGGAGAGAGAGGGGAAAGAGCGAGCAGAAGTGAGCTGCACAAAGCAGCGTCTGTATTCAAAGGGAGCGGGGAGGGATGAAGATTGGAGGTGGCCGCACAAGTCACGTGATTTACGGCAGGCATGAGCCGATTTAGATATATAAAGACCTGTGATAAGACTCGCGTAGCATCTTAGGTGACATTATTTTCGCGCGACATGTACCACTTCAAATGACAATTAAACTTAAGATGTTTTAAGCAAACAGCCAAGAATGTTTAACTCCGAAACGTATTAAAAAAACGAATTGATTTGAATTGTAAGAGCAACATCACACGTGAAATGAGTTTGAGTGAAAAATGTCATTAATACATGGGCTGGTCTTGCGATCATGCCTCACGTCACGTGACTTCACCACTCTGCGTGAATAATGCACATCGCCTTGTTTTAGACCGCCAACTCAAAATAGTTAAAATTACAGCCCCGGATTGTTTTCGACAGAAGGAGGGCAATGAGAAAACTGTACAGTAGACCAGTTTCATCCTTGTTAAGAATCATCACTACACCTCATGCCGCCTTGTGCAGCAGAGGTTTTACGTGCTCAAAACATTCATTGAATAATAGACGTATTGATTGCCGTTGTTTTGTATTATGTCAATGGGCCTACACATGATTCTGAACAAGTTAATTAAAATTGTGTTGACTTATTGATTCACCGACTTTCTGCTTGATAAATCACTGCTAAGCAGGAGATATGATTTCGGCGCATGGAGGGTTTCAAGGGGAAAAGTGGGTACCCTCCCCGGGGCAGCATGGTTCAGGGTTTGAGGGCAGATGTACCTGTCAGCGATGGAAGACGGCCGATCTCCAATCGGCATGAGCATCCCACCCCATAGCGACGCAGACAGCACCTGTGGTGAGACGCACATGCAGCGTGGCGAGACGTTTCCCGCTCGTTCCATTTAAATCATCTGCAGCCAGTCGCAGTTATAAGAAACCACTTTGTTGAGCTACGAGTTGTGCCAGGTCACTTCTGAACAAGAGCTATATGGGCTCAGTGAGCCAAGCCTAGGTAAAATAAATAGTAGCAAAATAGTAAATAGTAAGCCAAAACAACTTAAGAATTATTTCATTTAAAAGGCATTAATAATCACCACAATAACGTATATCTGTTCACTACTTAGGCACCACTCATGGACAGATCAATATTGGAAAGTTGATCTCATTGCTTGTGAAGGTATTTTTAAAACCATGCAGTTCAGCTGGTTGGCCACCGACAAATACGTTCATTATCCGATTGGCGGTCGCGGTACTTTTCAAGGCAGCAGTGTTTGTTTTTGTTTAACACGTAGGCTTTCGCGACCAATATTATTCACACCAAAAGTTTTTATGGGTTGGATCGCGTAAATAGGTGGCGTTAAGCCACCACTACCATTAGCGAGGTTTGTCCTGTAAACAAAACGTGCTAATTAGTAGATATTTTTAATTAAAATTTCCAGGCCACATTTCCTGTGCTAGGGCGGCGATGAGACCGGAATGTAGATGTGGTGTATGGTACCGTAGCGCCACCTAAAGGAAAAGACCGGCAACTGTTAATCTGTGTTGGAAGTGGTTTAAACAAGAGCCACTGACAGAAACGTCGCACATCATTTTTACTCTTCCTTATAACGCAGTGTTATTGACACATTTGTTGAGATTGTTCTATACATGTATGAGAATCAGAATATTTATTCATACTGGAGGAATCCTATGCGATATAAAGCTCTTTTTCACAGATGTCCAGGATATAGAGGACGTCCGTCATACCGATATCAGTGAAGATATCCCATTCTTGGCATTTGAAAAAAAGCATTTTTCGAATGCTAATCCCTACAAAATATTCACTCGAAATATTAAACGAGTGGTGGCCAAACCGCAGCTCACGTGTGCCTCGAAAGAGACACGGATAATTGTGTGACCTCTCACACGTTACTTTATATGAAATGGGGAAAGAAAAAAATCTGCGCAAGCCCCAGACGCTTGCCTCTGGCAGTGGAGCAAGACGAGAGAAATTCTGGGGCACTCCCCAAGTGGCTCTCGGCCACATGAAGATGTTGGTACGCAGCTCATCGTGCCAGGAAGTATGCCCCCCCCCCCCCCTCCTACCGCCACTGCCTTAAGTTTACGTTACAGAGGCCAGGATCATCTCATTTGCAATGGTGACCTGTATGTGTGTAAATTTCGATTTAAAGCTTTCGTGACTGCAGCGATTCATATTCTTGGTTCTTTCGGTAAAGTCACGTAGAAGGGAAATAATAAAATAATAAAAATAAACCAATAAAATAAAATTCTCACGACGTTTCGGCCACATCGCAAGCAACCGTCCTCAGGTGAAGAAACAGAGCTGTCGGAAAGAACCAAGAATATGTGTGTATGTTGAACTTCTTTCGCAAAAGTATGTAGAAAACCGTGATAATCGGAGGTGCGGGAGAAGAACAAACTAAACACAAAGAGCAGGCCTGGGGCATTCGTCTGTCTTGTGTTAACTTGCAGACCCGTCCCTACTGGACATCTGTGAAAAAGAGTTCCATTGGGACATGGGATGCCGCTGTGATGCTGGTTCCCTTCAGCAGTGCAACCATTGCGCACAGCGAGCGAGCCAGCACAGCGCAGTAATCCAGCGTGGCACGAGACACGCAGGCTTCCTAACCACGCAGCCCACCCCTCCGCTTACCGAATCCCACAGCAGCTTCTTGTTGAGTTGCAGCTCGAAGTCCTCTTTCAGGAATTTCACATCGCCGCCTGTGTACCCGGCCAGTTCCTGCACGCAGCAGGAAGGACACAAACACGCAGCGATTGTGACATCACGCACATAGGCGGGCAAGCACGCAGGCAGGCTCATCGGTCACACTCAGCACCTGGCGAGGTGGCTCGTGGGGTTAGAGCACTGAGATCCTGGGGTTTGAATACAGGTTGCCATCCACCCATTATTAAACCGGGTTCTCAAGGGTGGTCAGGAGTAAATGGTCTCCACCCAGTCGCCAATGAACTAAAACAACCCATGACATTATATTTGCTTCCTCTTTCATGAAGAGAGATAAATTACAACTCTGAGAATAAAATATACTGGTTTGAGTGCCACACAACAATCATATCTCTCGCAGTAGGACTTGTATGTGGGAAGGCTAAAGTAGCTCTATGATATCGGCTTGTGTGGCCCGTTCTCTAACATTGCTCAGCTAGAGTTGCATGCTGATTAACCGGAGGTCATTTGACAAGTGGCAATAACAACTACGGCAGCAGCAATTCGTGAATGTAAAACATTAAATGAATACGGTTAGTGCTTCAAGTTGTTTTTAAACAGTGATACATTTTGTTAAACACACCGAGTAATTAGGTCACCGTTACCTTCAGCAGCTATCTTGTAAGCCTATAGTTTCATTGAATGCTGTATATGGTTCATATTCCCTGTGTGCGTTATTAATGGCTTTCCTGTAAAAGGCGCATTATAAATAAATGAATGAACAATGCCCAAGATGCAGATCGACTCTCTGTAAGGGGAAACCACCGCGCCAGTGCCATTAAGGCCAAGTCAGTTGACACAATATGCAGCTGGCTTGTGTGTAATTTACAGAAGCAAATATTAATTGGCCAAAATAGTTTATTCCACTTACGATGCACATGTTTCAGGCCTTTGGTTAATCCACTGCTGGATTAGGGGCTACCCACGCCACCGTGAGTCGTGCAGGTTTATGATACTTGACCCACACTGATCAGCGTGGGTTTGTGAAGGTGGGGAAATACAACCACGGGACCATGGAAGTAGAGTACAACAATGGATTTTGCTGCACTGATTTCTGCTGCTCTGCATTTCGGCCCTGCAGCAGCCTTTAACAGCTGTTATGCATAGCGGTCGCCTGTCCAAACACCGTCCGGACTCAAACCTGCTTAGCTTTCAAGATATAACAAGTTCAATATGAAGGTGATTTGGTCAGAGGCTATGCTTCTGATACTTTCTTTGAAAGGTATACAGATGCTGCTTCATGCACCTTATTAAGAGTTAACAATAACAGCACTATAACAGTAAACCACACCTTTATTAGCGTTTAATCTGTGATTCATGAAACGAATAGCATGTACAAGAATCACTGATTTCCGATTCATGCACAAAAGTCTTCGGGTGGCCTTCGTCCAGCAGTGAATTGACCACAGATGAATGGAAATGAGATAAAGTGACTGGGCCATGGAAACCCTGTCACTAATTTTGGATGCCACATGAATCACAATGACAAAAGAGGTATTGATTCGCGACATGAATTGTGACACGGAATCCTGACAAGTCACCAAATGGTAGAAAAGGTCAATTTATTTCAAGGAAGGTTGCTAATTAAAATCTTGTTTGGGGGGGGGGGGTGTTTACTCAGCCCATCTTCGCTCCAGGGTCGGTAAAATAAGCACCACCTTGTTTGGATGCCCCCAGTGATTATCCTGTGTAAACTCACCCTTGCCATAGGAATGTGGATTTTCCCGCCACTGGCTCACGGCTGTGAATGGGTTATAAGCACCAATGTAATGCTCATTTGAGCAGGAAACCCCGAACCCTTTTTTTCGTAAACCTCAACGCCTTTTGGCGTCATCTGGCCCAACACCATGTGAGACTAGGCTCTAAGAAAAGCTGTCTCGGGTGTGGACCAATCAATTTCAAGGACAGTGCATACATTATCAGCGTTGTATTTTTTGTTTGCATTCTGACCGCAGGTATTGTGGTCAATGTAAACATGACTCCTTGTAAAAAAGGTGCCAGTTTTGTTGCCAGATAAAAGGGTAAAAAACCAATTATCATATTTTGCTACTGGCAAAGGAGGTTCCAAAGGTGCTCGACGCTCTCATAATACTGCGACACTGCCAGCAGATGGCAGACGTGGAACACATTTACGCGAACCTTCTTGGCCCAACAGCCCATTTTCACACTGCACGTCCGACCATGTCCCATTTTATTGTTGTGCATTTGTATCCTATATTTGTTGTCTTTCCACCCCAATGGTGTGCTTATTTGTGCTATCATTGCACTATCAAGGGACGGAGATATCTATTTGGATATTGCTGAAGCGAACATCACTACCATCTCTGTAAGCGACCTCTGTACCACAAAGAGGTCACTTTCCACCCGCTCTGCCAATGAGAGTAATGATCACCACATGACAAGTCAAGGCTATATATATATATATATAGATAAAACTCTTACAGCTCAAATGTTACCGAGAGTGCAGAACCAAATTTAATGCGATGGCCTTTTTGGCGCAATTATCGGTGACTGAGCTGAACCATCGCCTCTATATACTTGAAAAAAAACTATTTTAATCACAGGCGTCTGAAATCCGGACCCAAACCCAGGATCTCAGTGGTGCCAGCTCAGCTCAGCAACCTCCGAGCCAACAGGTCCGCTCTGTCGTTTGCCACCGAATCCAGAGGCGGTCGGTGGGGCAGCGGATCACTCCACTCACCTGGTTCACTTTGAGCAGCAACCCTCGCGTGGGAAGGATGGACGCGTTGCGGGTGTCAAACACCATCGTGTGCTGTCGGGGGGACGACGGGTGGAAAGGGGGTGGAAGGGGGCATATATGTGGGACAACAAGAATAATCAGCATGCGTATGGGTCCAGTTGTAAGACTTGCGTTTCAGAGTATAGGAAGGTTTATATAAATATGCGATAAAAAAACAGATACATTTTCCAAAAGATGTGAGCAACGGAGGGCAGTATGGAAAACCCTTTGTGTTGTACGATACTTTTACACTCCCATGTCTTCAGCAACCCACATTGACCCATGGCCAAATAACCCTGACAACCTGGCACCACACTTGTAACAGTACGACAACAAATACGACATTAAATTAACTGTCAGCCATGTCCCCTTTGCTCTCGAGTGATGCAACCTCAGTGATGTGGCAACGTGTACGACAGTCACGTCACTCTCACAACGCCAGAGCCTCGCAGTGTGCACTCATGAAAGTCAATTTCAAGTCTTTTTCTCATCGTGCCAAAATACGTAGAGGATATTTGATTTGTGGCTTTGGTCTTCACACATCTACACATGCGATTTTTCCCATACTCGCAAATAGTAAAAAAAGGCGCAGATTCAAGCAAAGGCAAATTCAGTTTTGATGGCGAAAACATGACCTGGTTTGACCAATCCGAAGCACACACAGAAGGCAGTCACCCCACATTAGCAAGTTATTTTTTGCCAAAAGAGAACAATGGGAAACTTAAAACGTGGTCACAAGTTAACTGTTTTCTATTAATAAACATAGAGCAGCAAACACTAAAAAGTCTCCAAAGTCAGCCACCATAACATAAGTTGCACATTGCAAAATCAATAAGTCAACCCACGCTATTGCCCTCTACTCTGAAGCAAGGTCACCACCTGAAATGTCAGGATGCTGTACATTGTTTGGTTACAAGGCACTGTTAACGATGACTGTGTCCAGTGCGTACAAAGGGATTCGAATCCAGAGACGTCCCTTGGGTACGGCTAATCAGGGGCGATTAGGCATACCCCGGGCCCCACACTTTGGTTACGGTGTCAGATGTAATACTTCTGGTTTAGTTTGAAGTCGGCAGGGGGGGGGCCCACAGGCTGGGATTTGTCCCAGGCCCCGCACCCCCACTACGGACGGCCCTGTTCTTAGCACCCCCTGCAACCCTCACCTCCCCAGCCGACACCATGGCGGGTGGATCCAGAGCTGCTGGGGACTGCAGGGCCGGGGTTTCTGAGGGTTAATTGACCATATTTCACCACGCCAGTCAGTGCGGATTGGTGACGAGAGCATATTTTTGTCTCACCTCTCACCAGGTGAACTGACTGGTATGGACCGGGTGTAACCCAGCCACGTGTCTACAAGGCTCGCACAAGCTTCGTCGCCACATCGGGGGGTGTTTTTCGTTTCATCCATTACGCCAATGGGTTACGCAGGCGACGTAATCCGTGCCAGACAAGCCACGATAAAAGGGATGGACAGAAGCCACGAGCTGTCTGCTTACAAATGTCAAGGCGAGCTTGTGTGCAGTGGGCACAGTGACTCGCCCCATGTCACGCACGTCAATAAATTCCGTTAGCGAAGACACAACATCCCTGCACCCAACCGCCGCTTCCAAGTAGACTCCGGGGTCATGTGAAACCGCATCTCACAGTGCCTCCATCACATGGACCGGTGCAGGGACAAACACCAATGGACATCTCTGCGAGGATCCTCTTGGTCTCAGTCTGAACGCAAGGACGTGCCGCCACCTCTGCAGTTTATGAATGTTGGAACAGGCAAACGACTTCGTTGTTGTGATGCTTGCTGCCTAAGGCCACTCTGGTTGAAAAAATAAGTAAATCCTTGCTGGAAGCCATTGCAAGTTAACCAATATTAACAGCTTCCAATATGGGTCTGCCAAACAAAACAGTCATGAATTGAGCAATTGTATGCGTCGTCCACACGTAAAACACTTGTGCAGATACCAATTGATTCCAAATACTGGAATTAAGCAACATAATCATTAACATGCACATCAGCCGGCAGGCAAAATAATACATTTCCAAAAATTGAACCAGCAGACTGTGGATTGTGATACTCTGGTATTTAGCATAAAGTACTGTCACTGCGATTGTAGTGTCATTGGACTGTGATGGTCACCAATGGCATGGGGGGGGCCTTGGACCCATCCAGCAGTGGATAGGTGATGACGACCATTATATTATAGACAGTGCACTCTAACCCACTTCTTCAACCGTGGCAATCTCATCGCCACGTAAAATGTAGGGCAGATGCCTGAGGTCGTGCCAACTCGTGCGCGAATCACAGGTCAACAAGGTGTCGTCATATCTACATGCAAACGAAACTTCTCATTCGCCAACTATCAGCGCCGAGTGGCTTCCTCCTACCCGCATCCCGAGGCTGGCGCCTGACCCTTGCTCCACTTGACACGGAAAGGTGCAACTAGCAGCGCGGAAAAACCAGCGCGTGATGAGCCCCGTAGCTGCTCCGCCGAGCGTCACACCCCACGCGATCGCCATATAAATTTAGCGACGGTGACAGGCCGTCGTGGTTTGCCCGCGCCACGTGGACCTCCCGCCGGGAATACCTCTCGCGGGGGGAGGGGGGTGGTCAGCGTTTTTTCAAATCGGTGCCCACGTTTAAACTTGGGACGTGCGTCACGGGAGGTGTGCGCCGCGCCGCATACAACAGCGACATCGCACACGCTCACATTTCATGATGGTTTTAAAATATTTTTTGGCTGGCGTTGGCAGACTTGAGTTCCAGATCGAGATGCCATCGGTGTAGAAAATGTGAGACTGACACAGAACAACTGCAATGGGGAGTGCAGATGGAGATAAGCAGCAGGTACAAAGATGTCTATGTTAGACAATAAACTGTGTAGGATGTAACTAAGAGTCCGCGTATGGTTAAGCTCAGAACGACAACACATGCAGGAATTAAAATGTTGTTCCGCTGCTTTAGGAAAACATTCCACTTTTGAGTGAGCAGTTGGCAATGAGTGAGTGAAAGGATGTGATTAAAGCAATTTGTAGATATTTAACTAAATGCATGAAAAAATACATCAATGGTATACACTGCGCATGTAACAATTAAGTGATTGATAAGTAAATGAATTATTTAATGTAGCATAAAACAGCACGTTCTAATTGCTGTTTTATGTAACTCTTTCATGTTATCACTGTAACCACTAGAAATGCTACACTCACGACTTTGTAAAAAAAACGAATAGATTCTTGAATCAAATTAATGAAATCATTATTGGGTAGACATTATTTGATTATTTCCAACACAGACAACAGAGAAATCAAAGCAAACCACCACCAGGTCGATGCGATGGATTTCGGCCGTTTCGCCAACACCTAAATTCAGGCACCGTAACGGTTTTCTCAGTTGCCAAAATTTTCGTGATAAGAGCAAAACGGCTTGACCATAAGGGCGGGCGGCCCACGGTGCCGGTGGTGGCGGTGGTGGCTGTGCAGCGAACTCCGGAAAACTTTGCAGGACTTTACCGAGACGGACGACTTGAGGGAGTGGCCGCTCTCCTGGCGCACGGCAAACGAAGCGGTGCGCGCCAAGCAGCCCAGCTCACGCCACGCGCCCTCCCACCGCACGCAGTGCCGCGTCCTCCACAGCGGGAACTGCGCAGGACCACGCAAGCGAGTTTACAACCTCAGATTAGCGCGGTTGGCTACGTGAGGTGCGAAAGATGTGCAACGTGCACACATAAACATGCATACACAACAACTGTTGTTCAAGCAACAAGACGTCTACAAAAGTAATCGATGACCTCAACATTAAATCATTTTTATTTGTGATATAAAAAAATCCCCCCCCAACTCATGCATTTATATTATATTCCCAATGTGGTGCATTGAATATCGATACGCCTGGCTTTTGGAGATTTTGAAAAGGCAATTCACTCAGCAGAAGATGAAGCGCTAATCAAAGGACTCACAATGCAAGGCCAAAATAAAAAATGCAAAGTCAGCGTTAGGATGGCAAACTAACGCTGAATTTGCATGAAGTAAGACGTTTATTATGTTGCTACGAATAACCAGTTATTCGTGAACAAAAATGGACAATACATTAGCCATCTCAGATTTTGCCGAGGATATCGTATATATCAATCAATGAAAGTGAGGTCGAGGAATTTGATTGACAAAATTAACAAAAGAAGCTGAAATGTTGGGCTTTGCAACAGAAATGGCCAATCATTCCAACGCAAGAACCTCCTGAAGAAAGTATCTGAGACTCAGTGAGGACTTCCTGGATAAACGACTGGCATTATATTTGGTACTGGACCTACCAACATTACGAGTGATGACAGAATCACCGTAACGTGTAAAAAAATATCTTTCATAACATCTAATCTCTCCACCTCTAATTAGTCCTCTGAGCCACACAGCCACCACCAGCACAGTAATAGCTAAAGCTATTACTGTGCTGGTAATAGCTTTAGCTATTACTGTGCTGTGCTATTACTGTGCAGCAGAAACAAGACGACGTAGCTACGGACACGACAGAACGTTAACCAGTCAGGCAGGATCTTGACACGAAACGTTGTCTTACGTTGAGGTCCAGGGAGACGCCCCTGTCCGTCTGGCGCAACGAGCTCCAGGGGAACTGCCCCGTGATCTTGTACACGCTGGCCGAGAGGCTGTGTGTGCACATGAGACATACCGAGTCACCGTTCAGGGTTCAATGTTTAAAGATGCAAGTGAAACAAACAACCCTCATCTTGCAAAAATGTTATAGGTGTGGCTGCAAATACACATTTTTTTAAAATAATGTTCTGCCATTCCCCAAATTTTCAAGATTGCGCTATTGGCATCATGTCGTGAGACAAAGTATGCCGATAAGCACATTTGGCTACGTACAGTGTGAAAGACGTTCAATATATATACATACATGCATCTCAGACAGAAGTTCAACCATTCGTTTTAGAGAACAGCTCACTGAAGTGGATATCACGGACCTAACTTGGAGGTCGCTTTGGTGACTTCTGTTTCACACAAATTAATTGGCGATGCTGCATTGGTAGTGTTGCACAAGCACAGCAAACAAACAAAGACGCAACACATTCGACACTGCAACCAGCGTTATCGTGCCCCGCCCCTTCCCTTATTAAAGAAAGACAGAACAAATAGACGTTTAACAGGTTTCTAGACAGAAAAGGTGCAGAGATGGCAACGTTGAGACTTCATTTGTTTTGTGATGTAGATACATGTAAAGTTATGGAAATCATGCCATGTTCCATCACAAAAGCCCACTATGGCAGCATACATTGTACAATTAGCATATAAAATTCATGAAACAGCTTTCCAACTCACTTGGAGACTCAGCCTAGGTATGTTTATACAATAGCCATTTGGTGTTCTTTGGATGCCTTTGTCTTTATTCATGAGCCAATGCAAATTGACTCGTCAAAATGTATCAAATGGCGAGGAGGGGGGGGGGGGGGGATCGCTAAATGCCAACTGGTAAATATTACAGCCGTGGTGTTTCCAAATAAAAAGCTTCAATACTGACTTGCGCTCAAAGCAGCCGGTCTGTGGCTTGAAGAACGACAGGCCATAAGATGTCTCCTTGGTGCCATAGGAAAACTGGAAGGTCAGCTTCTCCGCTCGGCCAAACAAGTTGGGCAGCCTCAGGCCTAGCACCTGCCCCACACCGGAACACACAAACAAGCGCCGACACACACGCCGATGGGCTAGAGGACTCACTGCCAGATTCACAGGAGATTACACACCGGCACAGTTTGTACTGTGTTTACTTTGTGCAGTAAATGTGTCGAGTTGTGTTGTTTTTGTGTACAGGCCATTAATACATAAATATGAAACAAGCTCATATTGAGAGACGTTTTGTCCGATTATTCTTTATTTGTTCCACAGCACGATAGTTTTGGTAAACCGATGCACATTACACAGACAACTACAGAGCACAACGCATGGACAATACGAACTATGCCACACCACCCAAGATAAGGCTGTCACTCTGCAGACAATACACAAACTAAGCAGCAAGTCACGGAGAAAACACGCAGCACACACACAGACAACAAGCAGATGATAGACACACAACACATATAACCCCACTAAGGCAACAGACAGCACACTACCCAGATGATAATAGCAATACCAGCTCTGTACAATCTTGATGAATTCTAAGTGTTTCAATACTGCAGAAGTAAAGAAATGAACTTTAAGTATTGTTGAGAATGGGTGTCAACACTTGTTCCGAAAATTCACAAAACAAGCTTAATATTGTTTAGACGTATTTCGGTAATGACTGGAGAGAGGAAATCGCGATCTACACTCGAGCACATGTTAAAAGAAGCAGGTGGAGACAAAGAATGGGTTCTTACCGATGTAATACAAGAATGACGTTGAACAAAAAGGTGCAAGTATGACTAAAGCAATAAAGATAACGGAGGAGCGCACGCACAAAAAAGGAGGGCGTTCATTTGGTCCCATAATTGCCCTCGATCTGACGTGGAGGAAAAGAAAGAGAGCACAAAAACCAGCCACTCCAAACCGATGAACCAGATAACAGGCAAAAGACTGCATGAGCAGGTGATCAGCACACTGCACTACAAGTGACTAACAGAGTGGGGGTTGTTCACTTACCATGCTGCCCTCATTGTTCCCCACCATGGTGTTGTAACTACCGGTGAGGCGACGCATCTCCACCACCTCGAAGTTAATATCCAGTCCATCGGGTTGGGCCCCGGGACCTGCGGCGAATGCACATCATGAAGGTTTGACACCGACTGTACTTCAGTCACTCCAATGCTAGATGTGAGGGCCTCACCAGGCCTGTGTGGATCGTGAGGAATATTTGACCCTACACATATACGAATTGAGAAAAATCGATCACTACGTATGTAGTTTGAATGCGTGTATCGTCAGCTTGATAATGAATATTAATATAGGGAAATAATGCATCGTCCCATCCCTTGTTAACAATGTCTCAGGTATTAGGCTGGTATAAAGGAAGGATTATGGCCAGGGTTGAGTATTCGAGTTGAAGCTACTTGTGTGCTGAACTGTAATGGTAAGGATTGAGGTTATGGTCACTTGGCAGAACGAGGTCTTAATTTAATCCAGATCTCTCCTAATCAGTGACCCGGAAAATATTTCCACACATCTCGCTATGGCTCCAGTCGATTAGCGATCAGGAAAATAATTCGTGAAAAAAAACAAGCTCTGGGCAGGATCCATGCTGACATCAATTTGATGCCGACGCAGCGAAGAATGGTCTCACCCTTGGCGGTGTCGATCAGCACCTCCACGTGACGGAAAATCCCCAGGCGCAGCATCTTCTCCCGAGCCTCGTGCGACTTCTGCATGACCTGCAGCAACGCGGAGGCAGCAGCGCATGTCTTACTCTTTGTGCACACTTAAATGTTAACAGTGTACACGTTAGAATATTGCATCCTGTGTGAAATAATACTTTAAACCTTTCCTCAATCCACTGAAAGGTCATGGGGGTTGTTTATAGCCCAGTACACCGACCACTGCGCCATCTTTCCAATCGACATCTCATATACAAATGTATATGAAGAATAAGTATGGTAACGCAATTTTTGTAAGAAAAAGGAAACAGGAAAATGGTGTATTATGTATGCTTTTTAAATATTAGGCATGTAAGAATGTACCCTCTTGGGAATTCAATTGTCACGATACATAAATTATTATTATTCGATTCAAGAATCAACTCTGTTTATCACTTATTTATCAACGATTTGTATTATTTCGTTTGTATGGTCCAATTTGTAGTTTTGTTTGTCGCATGCATTAGCATTTCGCACCTCCAAGCACAGTTGGCTACATATGGTGAGAGAGAAGTTCAACATACATACATCTAGCATTATATAATTCGCATAAAATATGCATATACAGCTTAAATAATGAATTCTTACGTGCACAATTTAATGCGTGTATGAGCTTAAGAGGTTCATCCTTATGAATCTATGAACCACTACATGCTGAGAAAATGTTGACAATGCTCAACAAGTGCAGTTCTGCTGCATATCCATCTCTTATGCGGCAAGTACGAATGTTCGGAAAGACATTTACTTCAACGAGGCTGGTGGCGTTGAACACATCGGAGATCTCATGCATGATGTAGTCATCCTTGGTTCTCTCCAGACCCTGGATGCTCACGTTTTGCACAAGGACCTTTGAAAACAACCAACGAGAGATCAAGAACCGCAAATGCATTGACGCACGATCAAAGGGGTACACGGTGAGGAAGCGTCCCATGACTGAGCCGACACTCAACCGTGCCGAGACATTGTTGAGTAGTTTACATGCAGGCTTAAGGCTTTCAGCTGAACAAGCAACAAAGTACACCTCTGGATTTGTCCCAGACGATGCACGCAAGTGTATTGAGTTACTGGAAAATGATGATGTTGGCTTCATCAACAGTGAGTTTTCAATCACATGAAGCGCATGGAGCCGCAGAATTATTTTGAAGGCCTGTGGCAAAATGCCAATTGAGGGCCCCATCTGAAACCTTTTTTGAAGCTTCCTTGGCCCTTTCTAAGGACCCCTCGGATTCGAGGCCAGGGGCAAACTGCCCCCCGTCCCTCTAAGGCACTGTGAATGCATGCAGACCATCCAGATTCTTAATAGAACTAGTCTAACGGAAGCACAGCACTGGTGCATTTGCATACGTTACCTGCCCATGGGACTGAAAAACCGCTTTGACTATCCGCAAACCATACACATAAGCCACCACTGATTGTATACTTTACAGTACCAAAAGTAAATGAATGTTATAAAGAAATAAAATATGAAGTGAATTAAAGGAATAATGGACATCACCTGCTTGTTATCCAAGACCTCCTGCTTGGTTTCCACCCCAGGGTCGTCCAGCATGGAGCCCTCATGGAAGGCACTATGATGCTCCGGCCCATCCATCGGGATCGGCTCCAGCGCCTGCAGCAAGGTATACACAAGAGGCGTGGTCAACTGGTGACATGAGCTGCATTGGCGGATGGCTACGGAGAGGCAACATTGGCAGCAATGCGTTCCTCATTGGGAGGTCATGTGGGCAGAGGCAAGTACTTTGTCATGTTGAGTGTGGTGGAGCTGATACGCATGGTTTAAGGATGAGCAGATGGGATGCTCTTAAGGATTGTCAGCTCAACTACAAAAAATAATAGAGGTGCAGTCTTCCGGATGAGGCAACGTGTTGAACATGTCTTCTCTCAAGCTATCGCCACGTACTACGGCGGGCAATTTCACAATGAAACATCTTCAGGAAGAAACAAGATGCTCGCTTCAGTACATTCGGCATAAACAGGAAGACCACACTTAAATGAGTTGCTGCGAAATCTTGTGTGTGAAATCAACAGAAGAGAATACAGGTCCGAATATATATCATGCCAAGCAAACGGCAGCGATTTCATTTTTGTCTCTAAATGCAAAAATATATCTGAAGCAAAACCATGTGTAGTGCTGGTGCAAGGCAATTGTTCAGCACTTTGGAAACAAGGATTGGCAGATCACAGATGTGTGAAAAACCGAAAAACCAATTGGGTTGGAAAGTTAACAGATGCCAATAAATAAAATGAATACATGTGTGTGGACCTCTGAGTGTAATCGTCTCGTAAGAGTGGGTTTTTTCCATATACTGAACTCCAGTGTCCTCCCACATGCACATTGATTCAAATGAATTGGAGATATCGCATTGCAGAACCCTCCTGCCTTCCTCCTGATAAAGGCCTCGAGATTCAGTGACACTATCCGAGACAAATGAAGTACTTCAGAACTGCTCTCGATAGCCTTTCATAAAGTCAATCGTCCTACCCTATCTCTGGTCTAAAGGCAAAGCCATTGCAAAAACTTCAGACTCTGATCGTTCTAAGGCCTTGAAATGTTTTTTTATGACGGGCAGAGGGGACTGTTGCTGGTATTGCTCAGTTGCTGTTCCGTTCAACATCATGGAAATTAAGAAGTTACATTCAAGTCATGGACGAGGGCACCACGTTGGAGCCCAAGTGCCACGTACAGTCCAATATGCAAGGGTTGTAACACCAGCGAGAATTGTATGCCTCCAAATGAGTTTACTACGTAAGCTTTTGCGACTAATATTATCCATAATGCAGGTTTGTTTTGGGTGAGATCGCGTCAATATGAATGTGTCCTTATACCCGCCACCATCTGACACAGCCAATGAGTAAGGTTTGTCATGTAAACAGAAAATGACAATTCGTTACTAGTACAGCACACCGGTTTTGTTGGAGAGCAAATCCACAGCATTTACAATCAGAGTACGACGTTTCGCCAGTAATTACACCTAGCATCATCAGGCGGCAGCCAGATTTGTGTAGAAGTCCTCCTATTTCGTTCCTTAGAGGGATAGATGCGATGTCGTCACTTGTGACGTTCCTCCAATGTGCTCTGTCTGACAGTGTCAATGGCCAGTCAAGGACAATAAATGTACGTTGTGTGGCTTATTAAACAATCAATAACATACTGTGCAAGTGTTTTGTCGCTCAAAATAATCGTGGACCCGCGCTCATCTCTGCTGCTTATTGAATCCAAGTTGCGCATTCCACGTTTCTATGGCGAGGAAGGTCACAACGGTGGCCGATTGTCGAGTTTAAAATTGTTCACGCTCACACGACAGCGAACTATGGAGACATATTTAAGCTTCTTCTCTTTAATCGTCACGCAATATCGCTCGATCCATTGCTAAATGCAACACTAAATGAAACCATGCTGGCTTTAACACGCACACACGACATCACCACTGCAGCCGTGCCCTTGACAGTCGCAAACCCCCCATCACAACGCACACGCCGCTCGGGCAATTGTACGTGAAGCATGCACGATGGCATTCGCGTCGAAGTCCGCGCACAAGGATAACGCGGCGAGTGAAGGAGTTTGATATCGCGACGAAACTTAAAAAAAAACTCCCCACAAATTTAAGACGAAAAAAACGGCGAGAAGCGATCACCTCCACAATGCAAACAACGACGCACCTTGGCATGCACGGAGCCCATGTTGGCTCCTCTGCAATGTCAACTTCGCTACACTCAAGCGGTGATTGCTGTTGTGTGTGTGTGTGTATATGCTGAGCTTAATTACAACAACAACAACAAAATATGACAACGATTCAGAGCGCTCCACCTCAGGGCCCCGTCTCTATCCTGCCCTAGGCCGCAAACGAAGCGAGCCCGCTCCCCCCTCCTCTCCTCCTATTGGTCGCCACGGTGGCGAAGCACGTGATCGCCCTTGGCCAATCGGAGCTCGGGATGGTGGCGGAAGAGATGGGGTAGGGGTGTGAAAACGCCGGTTCCGGTTACTGAACGCACGTGGGTGGAAGGGGCACCACGTGGGTCGTGGGTAATCAGCTGTTCGGTGGATTTCTCGCGCGTGGAATGTTGTTGTTGTTGGCGAGTTGACAGCAACAGTGGCGCCGCGTCGCTTCGTCGATGACCGCGGTCGCGTCGACTCCGAAGAAGTTGCAAACAAGCGGCGGTGGAAGAAACGCGCAAGGGTGATTCGAAGAAGCGCGGAGAGATGCACGTTTGGTATTATACTTAGACGCCGATAAGAGAAGATATGCAGATCAAAGGCATTATTCGACTGTTCAGAAAAGTAAGCGGGGATTCGGCGGAATATGATGTAGTGTGATGGCCGGTGGGAGAGAGTAACTGCCGAGTGGGTGAGAGTAAACTACCTATAAGTATATTGGGGTCATCCTAGATTCAAAACTGAATTTTTAAGATCGCATTGATTATATTGGTAAAAAGACAAAAAAAATGGTTTTCTGTATCGACACAAGCACTGCTTCCCCTCTATGTTCCGTTTGGAATTGATAAAAGCTACCATACTGCCTCTACTTGATTACTGTGACATCGTATATAAATCAGCCACAAGTACTGTACTGAAGAAGCTTGACTCAATTTATCACTCGGCTTTGAGATTTTCATTGAACTGCCCATATAGGACTCACCACTGTGATCTCTTCATTGGGTCAAACTTAACATATCTTAATGTTCGACGATGTACTTACAAAAAAATCCGCAGAGTACCTGCTGGATCTCCTCTCTGTTTCGAAGAACAAATGTGACCTAAGGTCTTCGCTCATTTACCAGCTTCACATTCCTTATTACCGTATACAAATACTGGAGGAATGGCCTTTGCTCTTGATGCCCCCAGGGTCTGGAATGCTATTGCCAATAAACTGCAACTTGAATCACTACCTATGAGATCTTCACTCAAAACTGCTCTAGAGGAGTTGTACACCCCTAGCTGCCACTGCTATTCAGTGGCCTAAAATCAAATGTTTAGCTCCGGATGACCGCTGCAAAGTATGATCTTGTGTTTTGATTTAGTGTGCTGATCTTTAAAGGTGCATTGAACATTTTTTGATACTCCTACTGATGCTCCTGCTGTTGTGGAGTGACTCATGCAGCCAGCTATGGCTAAAGGGTTTGGTGGTACATGTTGTTTGTCGTTTATTGTGAAAATTCGGTCACAGTTGCTATGATCAGTTACATTGCTTTTATGGCTTTATTTTGGTGATTTCTAAAAGTGTTTTGGTTTGGCCATGTTTGTTGTAGTACGGAGTTAGACTGATGGCTTTAATCGAAGTTGTCTTGTGGTTGTTGTTTGACTTGCATCCCACTGGGATTTTTGCACACAGCGTTGGTGTACGGTGCTTTTTCTAGAAGATTTTGCAGTTTTTTCCTGGATTTTTCTTTTTGCGCGTAGTCACTTTATGATGTTTTCTTGTTCATGTTTTTGTTTGTTGCTGTAGCACCCGATTCAAGAGCCGAATGGCTCACAGGGCTACACCAAATGAATGAAACTGAACTGCCGAGTGGGACAGAGTAACTAAAACTACCTCCATGGCGAGTGTGACGTGGCAGGATGGGCTCGTGTGTTGGTGGCTGGGTGCAGGTTTGCATCGCGCGATCGTGACGCTGGGCGGTGACCACGGGAAGGGCTTCATCATAAATTGATCATTGATGATGATGATGCATCCCTGCTCACGTTGTTAGCACGTTGCCGCGTTCTGGACAGCAGAGGGCAATGCGGCAAAATCAATTGTATTGCCCACTTCACCAATTGTTTCTTGCTGTGGTTGTCCCACCTGATGACGGACGCCTGTGTTGCGCCCGAAACGTCGTGATTTATTTTATTTTATACCTACGTGACTTTACCGAAAGAACCAAAGAGTATGAATCCCTGCAGTCACGAGAACTTCAAATCTAGATTTTATTGCACTGCGCCATGCTCCGATGTCTGTGTTCCCTGGGCTTGACCGATCTGCACTGACCAGCGTGGTGAAGGAGGTCAAATAATAACCCCAACGATCCCTGCAGCGTGGGAAGAGCCTCTGCCACCAGTGACTATACATAGAGGGCTTGTACGTGGAAAAGCTCATGATATTCGAATCTAATTGGAAATGAGAATATTTTTGTTTCCATTCATCCAAATAATCATATGCGCCACATTCCAGAACCGGATATTGAAGATTACGATTCATGCGCGACCCAGCAAGCTCGGCTAACACGCCGCCGTGAACACGAGTCGCCCACCCTGTATAGCACGTGGTCTCAATGTCGTGCCAGAGCAGGGATCCGATAGATCGACTTCGTCAGAAATGTAACCTTTGCGACCGCTCTCCTGGCGAATGAGAGCTTTGTTCGAGGGAGGCGGCTGTGGCACTTAGTGGACACGTGGCCCCATCTTGATGGGCAAACTCACCCAGCAGATCGCGCACTGCAGTTGGAAGTTGGCGGTTGACGTTCTAAGGTGGACTGCGACCCTCATAGGAACGGCGCCATCCTCGCCGATCAAACAAATCACTCGAGACGCGCCGGTGTGTGGCAGAGAGAGAAGTTCATGCGAATGCTGTCGCAAGAGGTCACACGTTTGGAGCAACGGTCCCTCGCCGACCGTGCGTGATGAATGAAAGAGTACGTCCACCGCTGAGATTGTGCATTTAAATGGGGGCAACGTGTGAAGGAGCAAGATTGTTACGTCGCAAGACCGTGAGAGATGGCCAGGGACTGTTTTGGCTTTCAAAACAGCAGTGGTCTTGTTCATGTATGACGATATGCGCGAAACATTTTGGATTTTGATTGGAATTTAACAGCAATACAATTTCGATTTAAAGCTTTCGGGACTGCAGGGATTCATATTCTTGGTTCTTTCGGTAAAGTCACGTAGAAGGGAAATAATAAAAATAAAACAATACGTGACTTCACCGAAAGAACCAAGAAAATAGCGATACAAAAAATGTGCAACCATTTTCTGTTAGCACCTGTCCTTGTAGGCCAGATCACTTTCGTTCATGGTATTGAACTATTACATTTCACTCTGATGTAAATGTCAACACAACTAATGTGTTTTACAGTTGTCCAACAATTCTATTTTGCTTGGCAAACTTGTACATCACTTGTTTCAGACATTTCACTAGGTTCTGGACGTCTGGACAGAACAGCAACTCAAGCAGCGGTGATATTACAGTACTCGTGCTACTGAAGGACATCTTCATATGCTGGAAGCACATGACTGCCAGCTATGGCTGCAAGTTTGGTCGTACGTGTTATGTCTATCGTTTTGTTAAATTTGAATCACACTTCCTATGATTACTGTTGTTATGGATATTGTTTTTATAGCTTCATTTTGGTGATTAGAAAACATGATTAATCTAGATTGTTTTGTGGTTTTTATTGTTGACTTGCACATTGGGATTTTTGCACACAGCGTTTTAATAAAATATTTTCTCGTTTATTCCAGGATGTTTCTGTTACGCGTCGTCGCTTTAAGATGTTGTGTTCATATTTTATTTGTTGCGGTTGCACCCGACTTAAGAGCCGCATGGCTCACAGGGCTATACCTAATAAATAAAATAACTAATGTACAGTATGTAGAATTGATTCCGTACCGTACGTAGCCAACCATGCTAATCAGAGGCGATGTCAAAATGTTTCTACGGAATTTAAAGGTCTTTTGTGACGACGTTGATGTGCAGCAGTGGCGCAGTTTGTTCATACAAAACGCCGATTCATAATAAAGGTTCCTGCAGTTCGATTCCTGACCGCAGATGACATCAGCTGAGAGTGATGCACCGTATACAAGTTGGTCCTGGACTTACACCCCTTCAACCGGAACTGGTCAGCGTTGCAGTATGGGGGGGGGGCACACCCCAGATGACCAACAACACACGGGTGGTACATTAAGCCGTGGGCTGAAAAAAAATTAATCATTGTGAATTAAAATGTTACACCTAAACGATTCACGTTCATTCGTCAATCACGATATTTAATGTGAATTTCCATTACATTGTAGACGATGTAAATGGAACCGATTTTAATTTTCATTGCTTTTCACTTTGTTGTAACGTTCTTACCCGCCCCGACTGGACATCTGTGAAAAAGAGCTTCATAGCTCTTCAGATTCCTACAGTAAAACATTCAGATTCATTCATTACCTTACCGAGACGTTCATCATAACACCCATTCAATCCACCAAAACAAACAGCAGAGTACCAAACAATAAAATCCACAAACGTCGTGTGTTATACGTATTTATTAACGACATTTAATATTATAGTGCACGCATTTACGTGTTCATACGTTAAAGTGAAATCGAAACCAAGGAGGTAACTTACTGAAATGAACGTGAAAATGAGGTTAAACTTAACAGGAACGTCTTTAAACGAGTATGTGAATAGAGCAAAATTGAAAACGGGAGGCATACGCCTGGCAAACGATAACAGTGACACGTGCAGTCAGCTCAACCCCACCATCCCAGGGAAATAACTGAAGGTTGAGCAATTGTTGGGCAGCAATCAAATGAGAAATTAAACATTCAACTCCAAAGTGACATAACTGGTTTGCTTCGTGGGAAGCTTATTACATTCCACACAATGCCCTTACTACCCGATATATCATATAATCGTATTCCTTTAATAGAATGGTCATAGTAATTTAATTACAATTATATTTAAAATCTCGACTTAAAGCTTTCGTGACTGCAGGAATACATATTCTATGGGTCTTTTGGTGTTGCGATCGAAACGGTCGGGATATTTTTTTTTTATGTGGCTTTACCGAAAGAACCATAGAATATTATATTTTAACCTTGATCAAATACTGTTTTCCAGCAGGGAAAAGACGTAACTTTACTTTTTATGCACTAAAATAGTTTGCATGGTACATAAGTGTGGCACAATCTCATATATAAACACATTTCCTACAGTGGAACAACTGAATGCCATCGAACATTTGTAGCAGATTGGTCTTAAATTATAAGCCACGATTCAACCAAAACATACGCATGAACAAATTAATGCGACGTTCTTAAAATGAGAATGAAATGTTAAACGGTTAAACATTACAGAGACACGGTTAAGGTCAAGTTTTCTACATTTCAAATCAATGTATAACATGAACATTTTTCGGATTTTTTTTGTTGCGTTTCCGAGGCCAGTGTAATGTTTCTGCAGATAGTTAAATTACTGAGAAACGGAACTTTGGACTGCACTATATTTGACCCACATGTTCCATTGCCCCATGCTAGCTGTGGTAGTGATCAACTTAAACTCTTAAGATATTTTTGAATTGTGTATTATTCTGAGTTGGTACATTGGCACAGTAGCAAATCAGTGGTGGCCTGATCTTCGAATCCAAATACATCTTGTAGTAGCGAAATGCCCATCAAACATACAACTGCACAGACATTACATTTCTTTGGCTACAGAGTTTAGCAGCAGAATCTTGAAAGTGTTTCCATTTATAAGTCGACTATATGGTACAATTCCAATCTTTTTTTGTCCCAATGATCCATTTGAGAAAACTACATCTGACCACATTGCATGCGCTCATGCACCATTACGAGATTACGCTGCGCTCGCAACATCCCACAATCGCACGCTCCGTTGAGCCGCGATTTAAACCAGCGTGTGCACAAAGGTCCTCCCCCCCCACCAACGCATGTGATCCTCAAACCTATGCTATATTCATGTACCATGCTGTCATTGCTCAAAGTCTGGTAAATGCCATAAAGAGGAAGAAATACAATTGCCCCCAAGTCAGGGCAATAAAATTCACCCTCTAAATAGCACCGATTATCCAACATGGCTCACAGAACTACTTTGCTGTCCCACAGCTCACAGACCACTAGAAATCAACCAATGCATCCCCGGTGAAAATTACTTGCCAAGATCTGTTTGACACTTGTAATTGACAACTTGAGTGCATGCTTGGCAGTGTACATCTTCAGGTGATTTACCCCCCCCCCTTCAATTCAACTTCCAAACACCAAGCTTTGACTTTTAAGTGAAAACACCTTGCAAGGTTGCCATTATAACTTGCGCTATAACCCGAGTCCTTCCCATAGCAGAGCCGACTGTTTACTCTGAAAAGGGCTGCTAACCAAGCATGTCTGAACGCCACACGAGACGGTGCTCGTTTTACAATGTAATAAATTGTGCGCAGAAAAAAGCCACCAAATGTGATTATCACGTGCATACCTTTGCATGCCACACACGCAAAACACCCCTTTGGCATAATACATTGTGTGTAAACGCTTGTCTGGGAATTCCATACGTAATTAGCAGCATGGTAATGAGTCGAATTATTACACAAACCGAGTATGCACTGCACAGCTGTGCTCAAAGCACATGAGTGCCATCGTGTTTATTTGCATTGATAAACATGTCATAAACGTTCTCCCCATTGACTTGCATTGTTAGGCATGACAAACACAAAACACTGGAGGCCATCCGCAAGGGCAAAACTACGACAACTACAGCACTTAATACGCATTAACAGTGATATCATACTTTAAATTAAAATATCTAGGTTGTATAAACATCAGGTTGGATACAAGTTACCAAGTAATTCAACAAAAAAGTTATTGTTTCTCGACGACACGGTCGAGGGACAAGCACATGGCTGCATGGGCGATTCAGGCTCGTAATCTGCACTCGCCCGGCAGTGCTCCATGCCTATAGTTTATAGCCCTTGTTCTTTTAAGGGTACACTTAAAAAGGACTGTGTATGATGTATAATTGTTTGCCTACCAGTCAGTGTCTTCCAAACCATAAAATCACAGCCAATAAAGATGAACTAATAATAGGTAGCCTTTTCTTAAAACTAAATATTTTTTTCCACATTGAAATTTTAACAATTGTGAATACACTTCACTTACACAGCATAAAGTGTGTTAACTGCAGACACGTACTTTGTCAATGCACATCAGGTTATGCTTTTGAGGAAATACTCATTTACTCCACTCGTGGCTCTGCCCCATATCTTATTTTTCCCCAAAAAAATCCAACATCGCACATTCTCCTCCGCACAGCCGACGAGACACAAACTGGCCAACCATCGTCCGTAAAACATTAAAAAAATCCCCACCCCAAAACTTTGTCCAACATTCTAATCATCACGTCAGTTTGCAGTAACGCGTTATCACTTAACGTGCTAACGCGGTCGTGTTAAAGCCCGACACCTATTTTTGAGAATTTGCTTTAATTGACGACTCCTCTCCACCTTGGTCCCAGACATTTTCTAGAAGTTAATTGCACCGTAGTCCATCTCGTCCTCGGAAAATCCATCTATGTCACTCTCCACCGCCCCTTCCAGGTAAAACTGGCCACGTGCGGTGGCCAATCCGGGGTCCTCCTCTTGCTCAGTCAGGAACGCCAGCGCCCCCACGCTCGCAGACTCGTCCATGGACCGGTGGCGACGGAGCCACTCGCGGTGGCGACCTCCCGCCAAGCGGCCCAGCTGCTTGCCGGCCACCCGCTCCGAGCGTAGTTCAGCCGCCGTCGTCAAGGTGAGCAGCGACGCTGCCGAGGCTGAGCGCGTCACGGCCACCAGGTTGGCCGAGCTGCCGCGCCTACTTTCGCCGCCACAGCAGCAGCTCCCGCAACCGCTGGTGGCGCTATCCTGGCGGAAGATCCCGGCGTGGATATTCATGCTGAAGCCGAAATTGGCGCTCTCCTCGTACCAGTGATTGAAGGACGGCTCCGTGGAGAGCCGGCGCAGAGACATGCGGTGGCCACCGCCGCTGCCGCCGTTAAAGCTGAGGCCATCCCCGCCGGATGCCATCTCCGGTGGATAGATCTCAGACTCGAAGAGCGGCATGTCATGGTAGAAGGAGTCGGGCAGGGTGAAGCATTTGCGCAGCTCCACGTAACAGCTGAATCTGGAGGCGAAGACACACGGGAGGCACTGTTAGAGCTGGCCAATAACGACGGCCCCAAAAAACACAAGATGCACGTAATCACATACCGAAGAAGTCTGATTTACACCGATTTTTCTCCGAAAACTCCACTCCTCATGTCTTCCTATGGCTCCTATATTCTTGTTAATCTATTATTTTTGAATACACAACCCATAAAACAAATAGCTCTTATTTTGTAAATATGTACCTAGACCATAATTGCTGCGCTGCTTAAAGCTTAGTTAATGAAAAATACTTTTAAGTTATGGACAGATGGGGATTATAACAGCCAAGTAAAACCATTGTCATACATTAATACCTCAATATAGTGACATCAGTAAAGCGTTCTGGTCATTTGCCTTAAAGGTCACTTCAAAGTAGTATTCTCATGAAGGAAACTAGAAACTCGTGTGGTACAGCAAAGCACACAGGCATAGTAACCACAATATTAAACAATAACTTGCAGCCCTTTGTCAATCTACTGCTTGAAAAAAGCCTCTAGCCACCTTTCAGTCAATGGAGTTGGTTGACCTTAATTCACCACACTGGGTAGTGCAGGTTGCTGAATGGGGGACCTAGGAATGATTCGGATATTACAAAGTTAGCTGTGGCCGGGCATCAAACTCAAATGGCCTGGTTCAAGGTGCAGTGCGCACTAACCCAATGCACTACTGGCTCCACCCGAGACTCAAACATGTCTACAAACAGGGACTTAAAATGGTTAACCACGCAGTCAGATAATGAATTTTGTATTCATTTGACATTTCAAACTAATAACATATAAAATGGCTATTTAATTTGTGGGTTGAGTATTCATTAAATAGGAAGAGAGGGCAAACAGGTGTGTGTATTGCAGAAGAAAGGTAAAGACTGAAGGCTGAGAACATCAATTATGCATTGCGCCAGTGACGTGGAGGGTTCAACAAAGCATCAAGATTATAAAACAAATTTTTTATCACACGGGGGTATATCTTGTACACCAATCATTAAGCGAGCCTGAAAATGTGAACAGTTATATTATCATCGGGCGGAATGCATGATATAAATTCTCCACCCCTTCTTTCATCAACGAGCACTGTAGAACAAAAGATAGGTCACAGTTGAATGCAGAGATGACAGCACCACCTTTGAGCAAGAGGTATCCTTGAATAATAGGCATGTAATGATTCCATACCCAGAAATTCGATGGTTTGTCACGGTTCTGAGTCGTCATTTTAATCAAGTTGATACTTTTTTTGTATAATTTATGGGTGTATTTTCATTCACGTAAATGTAGTTTGTAACATAATAAAAGCATATAATGTTCATAAATCCCAAATAACCAGTTGTCAAATGTATATATGAACACGTATGTATGGTAAGTATCAGAACCGATTTTAAACCAACGAAATGATGGATCGTTACATGCCTATGAGAAAAAAACACAGCAGAAGGGACAAACACAGGAAAGAATGATTTGAGACAATCCACAAGTCAAGATTTCAACCACTCGCTCCAAAATCAACTACCACTACGTCTCGTTTTGAGGAGTTTTGGAAACTGGGTCACGTGACCGCTGTGATCCGTACATAGAAAACATAAAAAAAGGACAGAAAATGGAACTCTCTGGAATCATTACCCATACAGGTGTGGGGGCATCTCCCACCACTGCTGCTGCACTGTGCAGCACCGCCGTGCGTTCTGTTAGTCTAAGACATCTTTTTGAACGCGGCAGCCCTGAGCAGCTACTGCAACGTTTCTGAAGGGGGTGGGGAAAAGGGGGGGGGGGGGTCGGAAAAATAACAACAACAAATGTTTTGTCCATCAGCTGCACCATCGGGAGCCGTACCTCTCATCAGCAAAACCACAGCTGCACGGCTCCGCTGTGACCAGAGAGGTTTTTTGTTCGCCATTTTCTTCTCAAGTTCGCTTCAATTACAATTGAATTGTGCTATTATTGAAGTTTAGATATTGAGCAAAACTATTTTCCATTCTGGAAATCCAGATAGCAGCCAATCTTCAATGTCACCTCGAGCGGACGACCCAACAATTACACGAGCCTACAACTAATAAATGTCTCACGTCCGTCTTGTCATCTCCCATGCTGCGCTCTTTTGCTCTATGGAGGAGCGAGTGGTTATTTTTTTTTCCATGAGCATGTTAGAGGATTCCTCAGAGTTTAAGGAATTGCGCAGCAATTAGCCTCCAGAGCCACCCAGCCATCGCCAACTTCAATTAACTTCTCAAATTACAAGCAATTGCCGATGCGGCAACACGATAAACATCACTGTACAGTACCGCATTAAATACACCTCGACACGATATATTAAATACGGTGGCAACGTCAACAGTTCCCTGGTGGCTGGGGGGCTCATCAGGGGGTTTACCCGCTGGAGGTTAGCAAAGCCTTAAAAAGCAAACGGATTCCCTTTCTTTACCTGGCAGACATGTGATTGCTGAAGTGGTTGGAGGCGCGGGAGAGGATGTACTGCACCAAGCGTTGTGTCTGCTCTCGCATCCAGCGGAAGTCCTCGGGCACATCCGGAAGCCACTCCATCAGCCTGCGTGGGGGAGGGGGGGAAGCAGACGTTCAGCGGTCATTCAGCCCAGCTCAGCAGAGGTGGTCGCAGAAGCTGCCCTCACCATTAAGTGATTAGCACGGTTGGCTACGTACGGTGCGAAAGAAGTTCAACATACATACATACACCCGATGCCGCCACCATCCCCCTACCCCGGCTCCAACTCACTGCCAATTCCTCAAGCGCGGTACCCACGTCAGCACAAATTAATGTCTTACGTGCGCCAACACCAATTGACATCTTTCCAAACCCCAACTTCTAAATTTCCGAAGAGATTTTTCTCATCCAACAGTGCTGAAAATTTGCAGCTGGGCTGATGAAAAGGCTGTAGGGTAAAAACACAAGCCCCCTTGTAGCAAAATACGTTTGCAACTCCCAAGCATTGTATTTTCACCCATTTAAAAAGCTTTCATTTCACAAAGCAGGCAATAGTTTCTAATTTCTCAGGGTATCTCGTTTCAAAAGACATGAAGGTGAGAGGGCATTTTGCCTGCAGAGGGTAACACGGCAGATGACAAACCATAAATATTTAATTGCTTTACCACATACGCAGGAAATGCAATACCAAGATTTGCGAGTCATCTCTGAGCTGTGGCGGGCAGGCACAGGAAACTTGTGTGTTGGGACCAACACCTGCGCTGACCAGCACAGTGAAGTATGATCAAATAACCTCCACGACCCCACATGGTCATTGGGGTTAATGGATTGACAGAGCCATTAATTATTAACAGCACTTAGCCAAACAGGCTACAAAGAGAATCGCTGTGTTCTTGTGTATGCGCGTGTGTGCGTGTGCGGTAGTGTAGTGTTTCACTTTGATCCTGGCCACCTGAGTTCAATTCCCACTCACCGCCTACAGTGATGAACATCGGAACTGGTCCTGGGTATCCCCCTAAGTAGACCTTAAGTGAGTACCTGGCTTGGTGTGTAAACATCGGCACTGGGGGGAATGTGTGGTTTAGTCCACCCCGCCCAACCAACCCCCTCCACTTCTTGTGGTATGCTGCCTTTACTAGGTGTTCGGAAACAGCACTTACCCCAACAGTCTATAAGGCTACATGAGGGACAATTGTCTTTGTTTGGGTACTGAGAGGTTCACCTGACAGCGAAAGAGATGGCGGACTCGAGCGGCAGGATGTAGGGCATCATCATGAGGGAGGCGAGGCGCACAGGGAGCAGGTTGGACAGCGAGGCGAGAAGCCCGCCCTTCTCCGCACAGGCTTCCAGCAGAGCTGCACAGACCAGACAAGCAACCGTCATCAACATCTCAATCCTCCAGTGGATTCTACTTCGTAGAAGGCACCATATATGGCGAGCATAGGAGCCTTTTCACCGTTCATCATGATCCTCACAACATGTTATGTTCCCCAATCAAGCTCTCTGGTTGGGTGGAAAGATGGCATGACGTGTAATAATTTATTCAGACCACTACGTGCGAGGTCAGTCGTGGTTGTCGTATGGAAACACGGATGTCTACTACAACAATGAACGAACCAGGCAATGGTGGACTATGTGGTCTACACTTTGAGCTTGTGATGGAAGTCACCCTGGAGGCAATTCTTCATATCCTACCGATATAGGAGAAAGCCGTACCTGGCAAGCAATGTTCTGATGCGGCTCAACACAGATAAACGTGACCGGGATATTTTGAAACAGGGAGGTTATATTTTAGGCCAGTGTTCTTCACAAATTTTCAGAGGTGGGCCACACTTTCGCCAATAAGATATCAGTGTAACTGCCGCCACACATTTGAAACCACTAGGTTTGACAGCACGATGGGGTGTTTTCACATTTGTGTATTGTCGGGGGCCACACGTCAGGGGCTGCACCAAAGGCCACCAGGGGCCGCCAATGGCCCGCGGGCCTTGCAATAAAGAACACTGTTTTAGGCCGACACCCTCGTCATCGTCCTGGTATTTGAGACGCTGGCGCTCACCCTTGTGGATCTTGGGTGGCAGACTCTCCCAGATGCGGTCCTCCAGCACGCGGCATGACTGCGCGTAGCGCTCCACTGCCATACGGCGCCGCTCCTCCGCTGGGTTCACCTTCACCTCTACGTCCTCCTCATCGTCCTCCTCATCGTCCTCGTCGTCTTCGTCATCTTCGTCATCTTCGTCGTCATCGTCGTCATATTCTTCCCGAAGACGGTCGACCTCGCTGCCCTCTCCAAGGCCAGCAGAGGGATAAGGGGCTTTCATCAGCAGGTCTGGAGGAGACGGGGAAGACAGTATTAACCTCAGAATGAATGTTATTTACGATTGTAACAGTAATCATCCGCACCTCCGATGAGCAAGGTTGGCTACGTACGGTGCAAAAGAAGTTCAACATACATGCATCATGATTATTAAAGCATCAAATTGCTGTTTCAGTGAACATGTACACAAATTATAATATTGTCTTTTGCACCCTGATAATTTAAGCAGTCCAAGCTAGATTAAGTTAAATGTCCTTTGTTGTTTCAGCAATCAACCAGAACAAACAAAATTAACAACTCAGGATTTGTTGATCAGTAAAAGGAATTCACTTAACAGTGGGCCTCACGTAAAATGTGTCTTTCAATTATTGCAATCAACCACCCATAAAGAACGGTTAGAAATCAAAGTGTCGACAAAAACCAAAGCAATTAAAGACACCATGGCAGCTTATGCACTTAAGTATTCAGCCACAGTCATTGGCTTCATGGGGATTTAGCGAATGTCACGCATCCCAAAGATATTGCAAATGTTACTCACGATTGTCTTTCAGGAACTTTAGTGCATCTCTGTAGCCCTCCTTGCACATTTCTATAAGGATCTGCAAGATAAGAACACACCAGCAACATAGGTAAGGCTCCATGGGACACGGTTCGAATCTAAATTACTTTTACATGTGCTAACACCATGACGCATATTACTCAGGCTACACTGCACAGCATTATCAAGGAACACCATGGACTCTGACATCATGTGAAAGAACAGGCCAATGTGTGCTGAAGCCCATGTTCGAACTTGAAGGAACACTATCCAGAGCTACATTACGAGATAAACCGCTTTTAAAAGGTGGTTTTAATCGCTTTAAGATGCAGTTGCAAATAGTAACGGAAACAATTTAGGAATATCCACGGGTGCACATGGATTCTGTATTGCTTCCCCCAACATGCGTTTGTCTTCATAAGTATTTAATTCGCAGGGTGGAAGCCAATAGGTAGCCGTCAGGGAAAAAAATATTTACATATATGACACATAGTAAATTTTGCTCTGGTTTGTCCCTTGGTTTTGGGCAAACCCTTTGATCAATGTGGCCTGCTATCAATCATTTAAGTCCCTACTGGCAACATTAATTTATACTAAACTTGTCAAGAGCAAGAGAGATCCCCTCCTTTACGAGCGGACTGACGAACAGCGCTAAGACATAAACGCTTTTGGAATTAATTGAAAGACGTTAAAAACACATCATCAGGACAGCAATGGCGTTAGCAACAATGACGACGGCAGCGACACGAGGCCGGTGCGCTCTGCGGGCCCCTACCTTAGGCTCGGGTGGGAAGAGTGCTCGTGACAGGCGGTACAGGTTGCCCAAGTTGAACTGGATGCTGGTGTTGGTGACGCGCAGCTCATGAAAGCTGGACGAGGGGTCGCGTGGACAGATGTCGCTCTCGCCAGAGAAAGGCGACACGGTGATGGTGTTCTTGAGCTCGTAAGTCGGAAGGTTATCCGAGATGCCTCCGTCCACGTAACGCTGCGGCGTAACAGGCACACGTGCGCGTGATCGATTAGAAACGTCCACGTAGACCTCGTATTGACAAATTACAGTTCGACTGTACAGAATTTGCAAAACTGTACTGGCAATGGTCGCGCCCTGGTGTACGACTTGAATGTTGTTTTTGCTCGAATGCGAATGCTACCACGGTGAGCACGGTTGGCTACATACGGTGTGACAGAAGTTCAAAATAAATACCAAAACACCCAGTGTCTCCAACGTTAAGATGTATACACTATAACTTTGTTTTTGCCCACCAAGGTCCTCTGTGGGTCATTTATGTAAAAACAGTTTACGGCTGAATGTTTATTACCCGCGTCAACAAATAAAATACACAACAGTGTTGACCTTTCAAAGTCTACAAACGCTAGGCATAATGGCATTTGATATTCATTTTATTTTTTATAATACGATTGAAAGTAGGCATGAGGTCCACGGTGGATAAAACCTTCATAAATTTACATAATAATGTAGCACGCTAATATTTTGGACAATTACTTTGCTGCAGAGTAGAGGCCACTACCGAATATGTTACTCTACTTATACGGTGTTCTATTACGAGGGAGTGTTAATAATAATGGTGGCGAGGTGTTTTCATGTGTTGATACAGCTGCCCAAAAATGTGTCATGTGGAAGTGAAAATATGAATATTACCGAGCATAATAGCGGTCTAAAATTACAGGAACATTCTGTAATTGCTAAATAATGGGCAGAGGGCAGCGATAGACAATAAAAAATAATTGCTCCTTTTTTTAATCAAAACCTAAAACCGCGCAAACAAGCGACACACGGGTAACTCGAGGAGTGCCCGTTTCCACAAAAATGTACAAAACAGGATCACATGCCCTGTGGGGCAAGAGATATCCTGCATGTCGATTTAATGGACTGTCCAGTAATTAGATCAGGACCGCTTTGTAAAAAAAACTTTCCGTGTTGTATTTTACGCAGACCATAAAATAGTTCCGTTTTTGGGAGGAGTATTTTTGGAACGTTAACAATTACCGAGGTATTTTCAATGTTTTTAGATAATGTATGTTGATGTATGTTGAACTTATTTGGCACCGTACGTAGTCAACCGTGTGATAAATAGATGTGTATCGAATGAGTAAAAGCTTTTTTGAAAATTCTTGATTTATTGTTCGATTTGCACATCTCGTTAATGGAGGCAACCTGCCCATAGCAAAGCAATAATCTGATGATGGCCTAGCTCAGGCTGTCAATGATACGTGCACAACGAAGGAGGTGTATGTATATGTTGAATCGGAGGAGCTGTCAGCCAATGAGAGCAACTTTACTTCTGCCCAGCAACTGCCGATTTTGTCTCGTAGCTGGGGGCTGAGGCGCAACAGACCCTCACCCACACCACCCACCCACCCACCACTCCCTCCATTATTGCCCTGTTTATGTGTACATGGAATTACCTATACGCTAACACCACACCCTGTTTCGATACAATCTGACTTGCTGCTTCCTTAAAAGATGGAATTCGGATTACAGACTTGTTTAACTATGTCTTATAAAATGTGTTCAAATTACTCAATATGCACTATCCTGCCAGATCAATGAAACATAACCTGGTCCATCTTCTTTGTTCTTTTGGTAAAGTCACGTGACTTTACCGAAAGAACCAAGAAGATGAATCCCTGCAGTCACGAAAGCTTTAAATCTAAACATAACCTGGTCGTTAGACTGCTGCGGGGGCAGTGCAGCCAACTCCATTGTTTGATTTTACTCTTTGCTGCCACGTATATGCTCCCTACATTCACAAACCCCCTCTGACCAGCAAAGTGAAGTATGGTCAGAAACTGCCCACATCCTGCATGTCAAGGCCCTCATCCACCAGTGGCTTTAACAAAAGGGGTGCACATTTATACGTACCAGACACCTATCACCCAGAGTCAAGTACCATTGAACAAGGTTTGTATATTTGTTTTACAAACAACTGCATACAACCGAGAAAAACTTTTACAGGCGTTCCTTTCTGGAGACTGCCAAGACTATCTCTGCCACCCCAACTGTGTCCCATGGCGCCTGGCAGGTGGGCATCCTAATTAGTGCACTCAGGGCCAGCAGCCTTTGTTATTATAAACCACAGTGGGTGGGTCGAGTGAGCAGGGGGGGGACGAATAGGTCGAAGGCAGCTGTTATGCGTGACCTCTGGACTCTTACCACACCCCACACTCAAGAGAGGTTCAAAAAAACAACCCCTAACTGCACGCCGTGTCCTCTCTAGGCCCTAGGTCACGTTAACCCGAAGCCTAACTGCTCAAACGGAATCCCTAGCATCCGCTTCACATCCCCTTTTAATTATCTACATTTCCCCATATTATTTTTTTCCCCAACCAGACGCATCATGCCCATGGCATTAATTTGGGTTTGTTTGCTTTGTTGAATTTGGTAACGTTCAGGCAGTGCTTATACATTCACGAGCGGTTACATGGTGTTGTGGAAATGCTCTAGCTCATACTCGCTATAGGTTTAAGCAGGCGATAGATTTTAATTAGTGCTCTCCTAAGCCAATCAGGAATGTTCAGACTAACAAGGACTAAAGATTTCAGAGCTGTCGTTGAAACGTCCGACTTGCTTCTTATTCAGAGCCGCCCCACGTGCGTTAATGTGTTTAATTCACGGAATTTAGTGGTAAACGCGAATATGGCCTCACCGTCAAACGCGTTTGGCATTTCAATGGTAGGGGCCCAACAATAGTGACGGAGTGGCAGCCGTAGAATGGAGCGTGTCCGAGAGGACGGCCACCAACATCAACTCATGTGCAGGTGCTAGGCAGATCGTTAACATTGCAGAACCGTGAGAGATGGTGGCTGCTATGGGAAAGCCTTCATCCAGCAGTGTATTGATCAAGGCAGATGCTGATAATGACGTGGTGGTGACACTAACTTTGGCTTCAGTTCACAATTACTATAATTATGAGCTCTCAGCTAAACCAGACAATTAGTCTACATTTGCCGACAAACAGACTTAATCACATCCTGTACTTTAATAGCGTGGGACAGCCTCAATAATGAACAAATATTACTACATATTAGCTGCCGTGTGCATTTTGGGCGGCCAGCGTGGGGGCAATTTACACAATTGTGAAGTAAGAACGCGCTAATTTCCGCGCGACTGAACTCCACTATAAATAGGGAACGGCAACCGACGTTGATTTGCAGTGGCAGCCCAACGCCCGAGCCTTCAGTTCACATTAGCTGCACATGGGTGCACACGGTCGGTCGCCACCCCATGACAGAGACAACCCCCCCCCCACCCAGTTCTTTCACCTGCATCACGCAATGCTGCAAGCTCATCAAAAAGAGCCAACAATAAAAGGCACTATTAAATCTGATAGACGAGCATGGCGTGCAGCACAATGGCAATAAAGGTTCATAGGTTCTCTGTGCCTCACTCACAAATTATAAAAAGCCCATGGCTTTTTTTTTATAGCCGGGGCCATGAGGTGCAGGTCTTTAGAGGCATGCCGGGCTTAAATCACCTTTTTCATCCCACCAATGTGGGATGGAAAAGATGCTGTGTAAATATAGAAGCACCGAGGTGCTGTGTAAATATAAAAGTTTATTGAGACAGGAATGTTAAATGTTTAAAAGCGTGTGTGCATAGGTGTACGTCTGTCTGTGTAGGAGGAGCGGTAGCGTAGAGGCCTCGCGAGCTGCGCTACAAACTCGGCGATCCGAGTTCACTTCCCGTTCATGGTCAACACTAGGGACGATAATTTGAACCGGTCCTGGGCCTCCCCTAGGTCGACTCAACCTCAAATGAGTCACTGGTGCGATTTGTAAGTATTCCCACTGCGGGGGAAACGTGATATTGGCCACCCACCCCCTCGTGTTCCGTGCCAGCTTTCAAAGGTGCTCGCTAACAGCACTTGCCCCAACAGTCTGTTAAGGCTATAAGGGAGATCTTTGTCCGTGCAAGGTGCTCGCAAACTGTACTTTCCCTAAAGATCCTGTTAAAAGCAATAAAGAGGATCTTTATGTTTGTATGTGGTCAACACATGGTGCTACAAACTCCGTGACCCAAATTCAATTCCTGGCCATGGCTATCAACAGTGACGAATGGTGTCTGAACCTGTCCTGAACAATTCAGCCTCAAACGAGTAACTAGTACGGTGTGTAAACCTCAGCATTGGAAAGACAAAGCCAGCCAGGCACGGCAATAGCCACACCATTCTCTCATGCACAGTGTTGGTCTTAATAGGTGCTCCCAAACAGCACTTTCCTGAAGAATCTCTGTCTGCCTAATTTCCAAACTTACCACGCCTTGGAAAGTCGGGGGGATTAATCCACAGTAGACAGGTACGAACGCGCTGCAGATGAGAGCCTGCAAAAACGACAAAACCAACAAACTCAATTAGAGATGCCCAAAGCAAGGATTGGTAAAGTCAAATTAGGGCGAGCTCATGAAACAAGTTGAACACTAAATGTAAAACACAATCTATTTGTTTATGCTATTGATTAGGGGTAGGGTGTTTATGTAGTGGATGAAAATCTTTTGGAATTCCAGATGACACGTTGGTGGATGGGGCTCATTCGACACCCATTGTGATTTTAAACATTCTTAGGCTCGTGTCGTATGACGGCCGCAGAAAACCGAAATTAAAAACCACTTAATTACATTCAGAAAATTGAAGAAATCTGATGACCCCACTGCTCCTAAGACAGAAAAGAGTGGCCACAGGCGTAAACAACTAAATAATTAAATTTGAACAAACATAATATCGAACAAAACAGCCACATGGATGAGTCACAATATCCACATCGGTCAATATCCAAACATTGATTATGGCGTAGGTCATAAGTGGTCAGCTAAAAAGTACCCCCATGTGGGATTATTTTCAAGATGCAAACACATACCTGAACAAATTAATTGGGCTTTTAACGATGCATCGTTTCATGGACTAAAATGAATTCTTGCTAAAAATTCACACCCCCTACTTTGTGTTGAAATCATTTTTGATTCAGACATGTTGCATGTCGAATGTAATTTGCTCGCGTGTGCTCTGCAATCAATTCTTGAATCAAGTTGATACAATTCATCAAATCTCAAGGGAAGCGAATCGTTAAATGCATAAACAACAATGATAACAGTCAAGGGAAACACCACAGAGCAATGGACAAACACCTACAGGCGTTCTTGCGAAATGTCTCACCTGAAGCCTTGTTGGTTGACATTGTGATTAACCAATGTCACCAACACACACCAGCATAATTAAGCATGATCAAACAACTCCCATGACCGAATGGCAAGAGAAAAGCCCTTATCCAGCAGTGAATCTACAAAGGGCTTAAACGAACTATTGTTAATTTTAGATTTGAAGCTTTCGTGACTGCAAGGATTCACTCCTAGGTTTTTTTACCGGTAAAGTCACGTAGGTAAAAAATAATAATAAAATAATAATAATGAATGAAAATAACTAAATTAAATCACGTTTCGGAGGCAACACAAGTCTCCGTCTTCAGGTGGGACCGTCACAACCAAATTTACTGCATCAAGTGTCTATTTTTCGATTTAAAGCTTTCGTGACTGCAGGGATTCATCTTCTTGGTTCTTTCAGTAAAGTCACGTAGAAGGGAAGTAATAAAATAATAAAAATAAAACAGAATAAAATAATATAATAATATAATAATTCTCACCATACATTATTATTTTATTATGTTTTATTTTTATTATTTTATTACTTCCCTTCTACGTGACTTTACAGAAGACAAGTGACTATTGTTACTTTACCTGTATGACATCGTCCTTGGAGTGGAACTGCGACACGAGGACGTTCTCTCCGTCGGAGACGCGTGTCAGCGACACGCACAGTCGCCCCGTGGCGCGAATGTGGGCGTCCTCCGGGAGGTTGCGCACCAGCGACTGGCGCAAGCTCTTAACCAGGTTGAAGGACGGGTGCAGCGGGCCCAGTCGCTGCTTGCGCGCCTCCTTGGCGATCTCGATGTAGTCGGCGCAGCACTTGCCTGCAGAACGCGCCGGAGTGTAAGGAGGAAGAGGATGTGCAGGCAAGGGAAAAAAAGTTATGAAAAAAAATAACAAGCATTGATTATGCCACACATTCTAATATTCACTCCTCTTTGAAAGTATTTTCTTTGGAGTACTAAAGCGGACGATCAGCTGTCTGGTAAAAAGTGTTTTCATACTGGAGTCATTTTTGCTCGGGATTGTTCCTCCAAAGTTTTTGCCAATCGTTTGATTTATTTGGTCAGTTTTCAAAAGGCTAAGTCCCTAAAAAGAAATGCTAGATTTTGACTCGTATTGAATCATTTCTAGGAGCGTTGTGCTCTCTGTTACAAACGAAAAAGATGGATAGAGCTAATTCATAAACGCTTTCAATAATCTTTGGAAAGCAATACACAAATAATCAAGCGCAAATCTAATACAAAACCATTGAAGTAAAACACATAATTGACCCTCCTCCCACACAGGTGCATGTGCATAATGTTAAGAGTTAATCAAGGTGGCCAGAGGACTGAGCAAATTCCAGTGAAATCCTGAATTTTATTATGGGAAACCATCCACCCAAAACCAAATTCTCAAGTCGAATTAATTAAGTAAAAAACACTACGCGGTGACAATTTTAACTCTGTTGCGAAAAAGGATGCGTACATTACAGCCATGCAAGACATGACGGGAGGATCGAATGTACGCGAAAGGACAGATAGTGTCTGCTTATTTAGTTTGTTGCTTATATTCTCCACTAAAATATGTTATTAGTTGATATCACTGTATAATATTTGCAACAAACTAGGATCAACATCTTAAAATGAAAGCGCTTGCATATAACATCTGGCAGTTTACCAGAATTTGGTTCAAGCAAGCCTGCCAAACCCAGTCCAGATTTTGCTTTTTTTTACCAATTCTGCTCATTACGCACTCCCAGAAAGCCTTGAGAGTGACGTGCAAATAACACTTTTCGTTGCTTTAAGTGGAGAGACAGATACATGAAGGAGAACTATTGTCTGCTTAGTGATTATGATGCTATGATCACATTTCTGCCTTGTGCTGTCTAGAAATCACATTTCGCATGTATTATTACTGCATTAACTTTTCCATCTGAGGCTTCATATCATTTACAATACTTGCCCACACCCTGTACAGGCTACAAGGAAACACACGTACACAACAACAGCATGATAATGGCAAGCCCAAGAACCTTTAGACAGCAATAAGGTGAGTTGATCTATTGGCTAAATTGTGAGTTATGCAATGCCTGAGGATAGGGCTCAGCAGTGGTGAGATAACTACCTCGCCTGGTAAACAGGTTGGTTGTTGGTTCAATCTCGATGCCTGTATATTTGAAGTTTGTATGTTCTTCCCGTGGCCGCGTGTATTTTTCTCCGGGTCGTCTGGTTTTTCCCTCCACATTTGGAAACAAGTTTAGCATATTTGGCTGCTATAAATTTCCACATAAGCCACTTCGTTGAGCTATCAATTAAAGCCAGGTCGTTTCTGAAAAAGCTGTATAGCTCAATGGGACTTACATGGTAAAATAACAACATTGTTATAGTTCGTGGTTTAAGCATGACAAATGAGAGACGGACAATTATGTGCATGACCACTAACAGCTCCTTAGAGCTGACATGAATACATTAAATACTTTACCATTCACGTTGCCAGTAGCAGGTTTAGCACATAGGGAATATGTTCCATTGAACCCATATTTGGACACGTAACTGCAAGATGGCAATGCCAACCACTAGGGTAAAAGTTAAGTAGGGAGCAGCCAACACCAAACCATAGCTGCTACATCGCAACTTCATCGCGCTACACCAGAGTTAGACACACAAGTTCGGTATTGAATATTAAACGGTCATATTATAAAACAGCTGCAACAGGTTTGATGTGCTCAAAGTTATCATTACCATGCAAGTTTATTGTTTTACTGCGACAATAATTTGACATAATGGGCCATATAACGAGCGACAACATACATTGCGAATTCAAGCGTAGTGCAGAGTTTTTATTATGTAAATATATATCAATGTACGACACTGTCAAGGAAAGTTGTTTTCAACGGTGTGCTGGGGACACAGCTTTAAATTCTTATTGTCACGTGTATATTATTTTTTCACCACGAAACTCTAATTGATGCCACGTTTAATGACGGGCCAATGGTCCAACAGTAATACAATAAAAACAAAAGGCCCTTATTTTCATCCCTCATTAAAATCGGATAACGCAGAGCTGAAGAATAGACCATTGGCTCATTAAAATGGCAACACGTCCCCAAATGGCGACTCAACGTAGTTTAAGCCGGTATTCTCTCGGCACATTCCCAACATGTCATGCCAAAAGCGGTTTCTGCATTAGCTGTGAATGCAGAATAGCCGAGGGGTACGACCTTTGTACATACATAAAACTACACCAAAGCAACACATCCTGGCAGATTATACGGCAATGGAATATTGAGATTAGACTTAAGATTTTACAACTAATAGTGTTGTGCAATGATTTGAACTTGCGCAGGTATTTTCGTAATAAAAGCAATACAGCAAATCAAAGTGTTTTATTAAATCTGCAGCCAAACATTGACACAAAAATACAAGCCAACCACCAGATGTTGCTTGAAAAGTGCCGAGTGAAAAAGTCAATAGTGCAATACACTGAAATCAGGTGTTGTGAACAAGGCCTGAACATCACCTTCTTTGTACAAAGTCAAATATGAGGGTGGGGGGGAAGCAAGAAATGAAAAAAACCTAGCACTGCATAAAGAGAAAAGTACGGTCGTGCCACATGGACCTAAATGGAGAGGCAGGTCAGAAACGGAAAAGCTGAGTGTGTTTTTCACTTCTTTACCCAGTCACATAACTATTGTTTGGAGATATAATCCTTGACATTGCCAGTTGTTTTTAAGAAATGTACCTTCAAGTCTTTGTTCCGGTCACCCTTGTCTCTGTTTACCCGCCACCCGCTTAACCAGCTGCTGTGACGATGCACAGTCAAGCCAAAAAAAGCGTAGCCAGTATGATCTTCAACCTTCCTAGATTTCAAACTTTTCACAGGGCTTTGTGTGGGCCATGTGTGTTGTTATACGCCAAATCCTCTGAATGTGGTCAACATTTTTGTTCTCCAAGTGATGAAATAATGTTCTTTCATTAAGTTCCCCCTTTTTTCTTGCACAACATTTGAACCTTATTATCTCAAATGCTAAGGCACTGACAATACAATTTTTACTGTAGAATTCGCAAGATTGTTTAAATATTAATTATGACATGTTTTATTGTAATGGTAAATGCATCTATTTTTTCAATTGTAAACTTCAGCCTATGATAACATACCATCCAAAATGCAGCCTATCAGATGTTAGAAGCTAGGTAGAGAAGTCCAGCCTGGCTAATGCTTGAATGGGTAACCACCATGCACAAACAGATTGTCATAGGGCTGCATAACTACATGGTTGGTAATAAGCGGCAGTGCAGCAAAACCATTGTTGTGCTGTAAATCTATGCTCCACGCCATCACCGAGAGTGATGATTAGAGTGATGAAAAATAGCCAAATAACTCTCGTGATGCCTACGGCATGGGGGAGCCTTCATCCAGCAATGCTTTGACCAAAGACTTGTTTATGTAACTGCACACATTGACTTTAATGGTAAGTTGACACCTTTGGCCCAGAAAAAACTCTATAAAGGCCACGCTGTACAAAGCTGCAGGGAATGTTAGCCCTGGCTTGGGCCCCCCTTAAGCATGCGAGCCGGTCTGACTTAGTCTGTCAACAAGTGCAATGTCCTCACATAGCCTCACCATTGACCCCGGGTGCTTATGTAACTCCCATCGTTTCCATTGGCTACTCTTTTAACGAAAACAGACCCACCCTGCGGCACTGATGGAGAGAACATTGGTGCTACATGCGGCACTGATAACACGCCATCACCTAGAGTGATGATTAGAGTGATGAAAAATAGCCAAATAACTCTCGTGATCCCTACGGCACGGGGGAGCCTTCATCCAGCAGTGTTTTGACCAAAGTACTGCACACATTGACTTTCATGGTAAGTTCACTTACATTTGGCCCAGAAAAAACTCGAGAAAGGCCACGCTGTACAAAGCTGCAGGGAATGTTAGCCCTGGCTTGGGCCCCCCTTAAGCATGCGAGCCGGTCTGACTGAGTGTGTCAACAAGTGCTATGTCCTCACATAACCGTGACCTCACCACTGACCCCGGGTGTTTATGTTACTCCCATCGTTTCCATTGGCTACTCTTTTAAGGAAAACAGACCCACCCTGCGGCACTGATGGAGAGAACATTGGTGCTACATGCGGCACTGATAACAATCTTCCCTCCATCAACGATGATAAATGTAAGAGCGATATAACAGCGTACTTTCAGCTTGGGTGTATTTGGCCTGAGAGAAAAAACATCTGCTGTGTAAATAAGTAATAAGAACACTCCCTACATTTCACGGTTAACATGGACTTATAACAGAAGAAAAATCTATAGTTCACTAACATTTTGGGCAATGATCATTCTTCAGAGTAAATAACCTGACATGTAAGGCTACAATTTACATTAAATTACAAAGCGGTGTTAATGACGAATATGGAGTTGTTTTTTGAACGTGTGTACATCAATTTTAACAGAGTCCCTTAATATGTTACATGCTGTATGGACTAATTTATAGTCATTTAAATAGTGACAATTGAAAGAAAAGACGGTGCAACAGGAAAGAACCAGAGCAGAGACTGAGGCCTATGAGAAAGAGGTGATTCACAGTAATCTACCAGGATATGATGAACTGTGGAATCGATGTTGGAGATGGCCCAGGAGAGGAGTGGTGATCAAGGGTCACAGGAAGGCACACGACGTGCAACAAATATAGTGTTCCTAAAGCCAAAAAAAAATCTGCTTTCTAGGCAGCTCTGCCACTCGACTGCGTGCTCTCATGTGACTTGATAAACCATTTGAAACAATACGCATGCCCAGTTGGCCAGCCTGTGTTATTGTTGGCACTCTAACATTTCCTGTGTTGTGTTATTCACTCGGTTAATATTAACAATCTTAACAACATGTTCGTCCCTTTAGACATCACACAGCTTTTCGTATATGGCCATTTCAGTTGGCGGCAGCTTGGACATCTCTTCATCCAGCATTAGAATAACCATGGATGTTGGTAATTATTGTTTATTTAGAGGGCCTGTGTGTTGAAGTTGAATGTATTTTTACAGGGCAACTCCATTCTGCGAGAGAACTCACAAGAAGGTGGGGGGGGCTCCTGTTTTTTTGCTTCGTGGAAAGTTAAATATTTACCGAATTACATCAGTGTCCTCACAAAGTCACAATAGCCTCAAAACCTCAGTGACATCAATATGCGTGTTAGGTTACACACCAACATATTATGGTAGAGGCCAAGGTATAAGCGTTATCAGTTGAACTATGAACATTGCAAACTAACCCCTCCTCCCACCCACCCATTGAACCATAACCTCGCTTTACCTATGCACTTAGCTGGCCATGATTGGAGAGGGGGGGGGTATCAGCTGCAATCAGTATGAGATAAGCTACTGACCGCTGTTGTCCTGTTCCTGAAGAACAGGAGCAAAGCTTAGACTTGAGGTTAATTACGCAACCAAAATAAAACACCTTATGTTGTATTCAAGCACAACTCCATTCAGTGTCTCCACCAAACTAAAATGTGTGTAGTCCATTGCTCTATTGGGCCGACAAACCAACATACATTCTGCTGTAGTTGTTTTTTAAGCAATTAACCATGCACCGGTTTCAGCCTTCTGGGTCTCATCAGGATACATTCCTAGGTATTGTGTTTTGGGCTGTCCAACGTTCAATCATCATCAATGAGAAAGAATATTTTAAATGTATTGACAGGCAACTATAATATGGCACTCAAGTGATACCGCCGCGAGATTACTGCTGTAGGTTTTGATAATTTCTTGGCAAAGTAACGTCACTGTGACGCCATTATAACATGCCAACGTTAAACGTTAATTTTCTCATTAACGAAGCTTCGAACTCGAGTTGGACGTCAGGACAAAACCTAGGTGCATTTGAAAAGTGATATTTGCTTAATGGGTTTTCTTATTCCAAGTCGAAGTTGTGCAGCCAGTTCGTCTTTAAGATGCAGTGAACGCTATACAAATCCAAATTGCTTTGTATAGTACTGTACAGTCCTTTTCATACGATCTTTCGTGAGACAATTAGGCATGCTACATGTTCATCATTTTACTATACTATGGCGCAAATACTAACTTATACATTCAGATCATAATGTCATATAATGCCAAAACAAATTTACCAAGGGCTGAACAAAATTGCTAAGTCACGGAAGAGACATTTCACAATAATTGTTAAACTCATCCAAAACCAACAATGGCCTTTACAGCAGGCTTTAAATAAACCATCAAGTAGACTCAAACATAACAGATTTCAAAATCTCACAATTCTCGGTAATGTCCTCAGTTGCAGGCTTTGGCTTAAATTCAACAATTGGACAGGACAAATAATGCCCTATTTTCCAGCTTTAGCACTTCCAAGCTACCATATATGCGAAGGGCAAAAATAGGTCAATTAAATCTTGACTTAAAGCTTTTGTGACTGCAGGAATTTTTATTCTTTGGGTCTTTCGGTAAAGTCACGTAGATAGGTTCAAAGAAAATAGCAAAAAACGACGTTTAAATCGCATCAGGAAAAAAACCTTTTCCTGATGACGACAGCTTGTGTTGCGATCGAAACGTCGTAGTTTTTTTGCTATTTTATTTGAACCTATTTATGTGACTTTACCGAAAGACACAACGAATATTTTAATTAAACCTCCTAAGCCATCCGTAAAGGGAGTCGTGTGAATTAGGCTCCGAGATAAAGGAACAATTTAAAACAATGTTAAACAATTATGCAATGTACTGCTGCATCAAGGCACTGGTCAATGCGAGTTTGTGAAATGGAGGGTTCCAGTAACGATTCAAATATGTCAATCGCCACTGATTTAACCATGGCCAGGAACCGATTTCGAGGTCACCACGTTCAGAACACAGTGAGCCAACTATTGCGCCACCACATTCCGCCCAGATAAAGATGAATGGAAACTGGCAGAGAGATATGTCCGTTCCGCCTTAGTTATATATATTTTTATCTACGGTTGACATGAATGGCGTATTACCTTACATTTCTGTACTAAAATAACCCTCGCGATTCCACGGGGCGTGGGGAGACCCTCATCCAGCAGCGGATTGACGAATGGAGATGTACAAGTAGATGTGTTACCGGTATTCTCCACATTATAGGACCCATTTTACTCCATATTTAAAAAAAAAATTTAGGATTCGCCTTATAAGCCGATGGGGTTGTGAGGACCAGATGTTTGTAACGTTACTGACATCGGGCACACGTTTGGGCTACGTCTTATAATCCGGGAAATGCATGAGGACCCGAGCTTTCTATTTATTGCCAGCCACGTGTCAAAAATATTAGAATCCAGGGTTAAAATTAGCCAATCCTCTGTTCGAAAACCATACAGCGCACAAGCCACGTCACACTCGTCGCTCCATGCGATTGGTCCACGCGCATCACGTGCAGCGACGCCATCCAATCGGTGCGCACCGAAAAGAACGCGCCGACTTATCCGTATTAAGAAATACAAAATGAATCGCAACCATTTTGTTTACAATAAATAATTAGTCACAGACAGGAACTTTTAACAAAGAAACAAAACAATAATAACAATGATAGACGTCTCTGGGAACGGCCCGAAACGTCGCCGACGCATGTATTATTTTAGGGTAGCGGTATTCACGAATTCGTTGGGGTTTTAATTGGACTGTCATTTATAATCCAAAGGAAGGGCCATCATAGAGGTTGGAGCCTGGTAACGGGACTGTTCTGGGGAACTCAAGGGATTGGAGACAGCGTGGTGGGGGAGAGGGAGATGCAAATATATGCAAAGGAGAGCAGTTATGTATGAAAACATATATAGGTTTTACCCTTTCTGGTAATAAAAACAGGTGTTAAAATGTTCAAACACCAAATAGAAACCTTTTTAGCAAGGACTCAAGTCCGCATTAACCACACGTACTTGTGCTGAACATACAAACAAACATGCTGATAATTTGATGCATTGTCTTTGAAACTGACAGGTCTACACGAGAAACAGCCTCCTGTAGGGCCGGTTCTCAAGTCTGGGAAGAGTTTGTAATACGGGGAGACTGTAATCTGGAGACAGGAGAGCCGACAACCTTCCCAACTAAGTAAGCAGCTAAACACCGGGAGAAATGTAGGAGAGGAGACCATCATTGTCTTCTAAGAATCAATTCGCCAGCCGTCCCACGGGAGCCAACACCGACAATTCCAAGACCGATGACACTCAAGTTGACCCAGTGTGGCGAAGACAAATTCTCCTCGGGGAGGACCGGCGGTGTACAGGGGATGGCGAAGGGGTTAGAGCGAGACCAGCGAGCGGTGCTGGGGTGGGTGGCGGTGTGTGTTGGAGGAAGGCTCCCTCCCTTACCCAGGCAGACACCGCACACGATGGAGGCGGCGGCGAGCGCCCCAGCAGAGGAGCCGTAGACGGCGGTGGCGTCGCTGATGAGGGCCGGCGCGTTCTCGGTGAGGCAACTCGCTACACCCATGTGGTAGATCCCCAGGAAGCCACAGCCGGCGAACGACAGGTTCCAGCTAGAGTCTAGCGGGAACATGGTGTTAGATTTGACGGTATGCGTGACGTTAGAACGGCAAGTGTGCGATTGTTTAAAGCGCTACGAAGGTCGAACGAACAGCGACGCTTCTTCTTCTTCCACTCTTCTCTGAGTTCCAACCAAGCGCGGTTTGGCCTTAAAGAGATCCGTAGCCGCGCGCTGATTGGTCGGCGGGTCGGGGAGGAGCGCTCCCATTGGCTGGACGCGGGGGCAGCCCCACTTCCACCCCGCCCCGCCCCGCGTGTTTACTCGAAAGAGGGTCACGCCCACCCCGCCACTCGGCGTTTTAATAATAAACAACAAAGGCAAAGATCCCCCGCGTAGCCTGTAAGAGTGTTGGGGCAAGTGCTGTTAGCGGGGAGCAGCACTTATGAAGGCCGGCACAGCACACGAGGGTGGCCAGCACCACGCCCGGCCGCCTTTGTCTCCTCAGCGGTTATGTTTACACAACGCCACTGGGTACTCATTTGAGGCTGAGTCGACCCGGTGTTGGCCGTGAGCGGGAATCGAATTTGAGTCGGCGTGTTCGTAGTGCGGTGCGCTAACCGCTACACCACCGCTCCCCATAACAACAACAACACGCAGGCCAGCACATGTCAAGGGACATATTGAATCATTGTGTTGGAAAATGTATCATTAATTGTGTGGAGGTGGGGGGGAACTGAGCACTTCATCAACAACACTGCCTTAAAATGATCACTGTTTCATTGCTTTTATGGCTTTATTTAGGTGATTTTCGAAAAGTTTTTTGGTTTGGCCATGTTTGTTTGTTGTAGTACAGAGTTAGACTGATGGCCTTAATCTAAGTTGTCTTGTGGTTGTTGTTGTTTGACTTGCATCCACTGGTATTTTTGCACGCAGTGTTGGTGTACGGTGCCTTTTCTGCAATATTTTGCTGTCTTTTCTTGGATTTTCTGTTTGTACATAGTCACTTTAAGATGTTTTCTTGTTCATGTTTTTGTTTTTTGCGGTTGCACCCGATTCAAGAGCCGAATGGCTCACAGGGCTATACCTAATAAATGAACTTCAACTTGAAAAGGAACAACAAAATATGAGAGGCGACTTAGCAGGCCCTTCTTCATAGCGCAAACAATGTGGGGCGACACAGCCGACGCAGTTTCCACGAGATTTTTTGGAAAATGTTGATTGGGTAAAAACAGTATAAGCAGAAATGTGTTACGTGTCAACACGTACAAATGTGTATAATGGAACAGCATCCTATTGGCTTTCCAAACAAATATTGTCACACGGCATTTGTTTAAACAAAGCAAACACTGTAACCGGGTTTGACCTTTGTCAAGCAAAACCCATTGTTGTATTGTCCTGCTATGCTCCCAACCCACAACGACCATCATGGTGAAGTGTCACATCATGCATGGGGATGACACTGACATCAAGAGGAACACGTGCATCATTGTGCAAACACAAGTTAGAGACACATTGTGACGTGGTCTTGGACAGGACAAATGACTGGAAGTGATTACGTATGTTGACCTTCTTTCGCACCGTACCTAGCCAACATTGCTAAGCGGAGGTGCGGGAACTTGAATATAACCAAGGGGTGTCAGCTAAAGGAGTCAACCTACTCGAGAGGACATCCACCGTGGAGATGGAGCGATTAAATCAGCTCCACGTGCTAGAGCGAGGTGGATTGCTGTGTTGCGAGACAGAGAGATGGTGACGACTTGGGGAGGTCTCATCCAGCAGTGGACAGACCATGATGGCTGAAGGCGATGGATCATAAAACTCGCCGTCTTCACCATGAACACGGCGTTATAATACCGCATAAACAATAGGATACAGACGAACGTGCTTGAAAGGCAACTGCACGAATGGATTAAAACGTGTAATTATTAAATCACAAATTAAACTCAGCATCATCACTCCAACTGTGTTGCAATAGAAATATTTAAAATATGTTAGTTCACAAAAACAACATAGTCAGTGGGTTATCGGGGCTGATTTAAATGAAATTTACGTGATTGTTTTTGGTATTTTAAAACTACCGTGGTCATTAAAACTCATACTACATGAAGTGTTTCAGGCAATTAACGTTCTTCAAAACTGCTTGAACACCTCTATACACACAGGATAGTATGTTTTATATTTATTTCGTAATTTATGGGATTACTTGGCCAAGATAAACTCATGAATTATGAGGTGTGTGTTTTGCATATCAATATTTAAGTCGTATTTGGCCGCACATTCTAATGCAAACTCGTCCTGAAAAATAGTCCTGAGACTCAGTCAGTCTTTCCTTTTTTATTTGCTTAATTGATCCATTCCTTCTCACTTCAATTGGCAACTGGAAGGTACAATACTTTGTTGAGCAAAATAATATTAACTTTTTGAGACAACACAATTGGTGCTATGTGCATTGTTACATCGCACTGATTACAGTGCTGTGAGAGATGGTGATGGCTTGAAGGTCTTCATCCAGCAGTGTCTTGATCACGGCTGTTGATGAATGTCCCGTGATCTAGCATTTATCAGCATGCCACGAAAACCAGCTAGAAAGTGTAGACATATGTGTCGTGTGTGCCCAATTATAATGTATTGTTCTTTTCAAATCAACAAATACATTGTACTGCCAGATCTTCTCTGCAGAAACCTGATCGCCGCGCCGTGTTTATTTTCACCCATCATGCTTCATCAAGTGTCACTGTTGACCTTGTCTGGTTCACGCCCGGGGTGCGTAGGGAGAGCCACGGTTAACAGCGGCAGTGCCAGCAGCAGCAGCAGTCGCAACAACAATGCGAACGCGTGAAACATTCCCAGGGCAAAGGCGTCCCACGCGTATTGTCATCTACCACACTTCCCTGAAACCCGACAAAAACTTGGTGACACTGTGACCTGATAACCCAATGATCGCGTGGCCATCTGGCCCATTTATAAAGGAAACAACAATTTCACACAAACATGTTGTGTGCTCTCTAAGCGATATTAAATGATACTTGATAATAATAGTGATTTCCCACTGCTTTGGTCGTGGGGGTTGGTTGACCACACTTTGACATGCTATGTAGTGTGAGTTGGTGCAGTGAAGAGCCGGAGGGTTTGGGGGGGGGGTATCATCAGTTCAGATATAACTCACCATTGATGTTAGTGGTGGCCATTAATTGATTTCAGATCGCCAGTTTCATAGCACGGTGTACTGACCACCACGCTACTATTCCTCCATTATTACTACAGTGTGTAACAAAAATACATTTTGTTCCTGGGTAGTAAGTGTTATTTCTTAATTGCTTATTCCTGAAAAGTAGAGAAAATTGATATTATTCCCTACAAACTTTGCTTTTGTGAACAGGACAGTGATATTTAAAAATGTACATATTTTCAATGAGAAAACAGGCGAATTTGTGTCTTTTCGTTCACATAAAGTCAGAAAAACAACATATGAATCAAAATTAACATTACTTCTATAATGAGCCAAGAATGTCTGTTTGTGTGTAACGCGCGTGACGTCACTCCACATGCCGCACCCCCCCCCCCTCATTAATATTCATTAGCGGGTGGATATTTACACTCACGCAGAAGAAAGTCGAGCGGAAATGAAAAAAAATCGCTAATTCGCTTTAAGTTTGACGTTTCTTTATTGAAAGTGGATCTAATAAATAATTCTACGCAGCAACAAAGTGGATTTGTTGTTTAACTGTACTTTGTTGTTTTAAACCCAGGTCTCCCTTGAAAAAGAGATTCCTGGTTTCAGTGCCTTTTTATATCAGCAGCAGATATGTTCTATCAAATGCCAGATGAAGACCTCCCCATCGCTCAGTTGCATGTGATCCATAATCCATCTCGCTTTTGCACATGAACTGATCTCATTCTTCTCATCAAAGAGGTAGACAAAACTGATTGAAAAATTATAGACCCTTTAACCTCTTCCAATGCATATATATTATCTGTTCATAAAGACCAATGACAACCAAGAAATGTGTCATTTTAGAGGCTAACTATGAGAACAAGTTGGTTTTAGAAAAGGGTTTTCTACTATTGACCAAATACATTCGACCATTGAGAACCTAGGAAAGGCAATTGAATACAAATTACCATTATTCCTGGGCTTCATATACAGATACTCCTCGATTTACAAACATTCGACTTACGAACATTTAGACATACGAACAAATCTGTCCGAATGTCCTGTTGCCTGTTCGGACCGAGAATCGTAAGTTAAATCGCTGCACAATAGATGGCGGTGGTGGCATCTACATCTGCAGAGCATGAATGACCAGTCTTATCTACAACTACAGGAGATAATACAACTTTTAAAGCCATTCCTGTGTTTAGTGTACATGCCATGCAACATGTTTGGAATCGACAGGTGTAAAGTTGGACTTACGAACAAATCGACTTACGAACAGACCTCTGGAACCTAACTCGTTAGTAAGTAGAGTCCCTGTACATGCCTTTGACTCTATTAACTTGGTTATAATAAATGTTTACTCTTGTGTTTTCGATGACTGTAGCTTGTGTTAAAGTAAGAATTTTCTATTAGAGAAAAACGTGTTTAAGAAATTGACAGACAAAAACTACTGTCTTCTTCCTAAAAAAATAAACATCGCACTCAAGCCTGGGTCATGTGTCTTTGATTTTCTATTTTTCAAGAAAATGTTTTTAGAATGCAGTGAATTAAAATAGCCATTTTGATATTAATTTCTCATAATTGGAAACACATCGGTAGTCTGTACGACTTACAATACCACACAGACGCAGGATGTTTTTGTAACATACTGATTACGTTTTCTTTCGCATTGCACCAGCGATCATGAAAACAACTAAAAACACTATCTGTTGGCTGTTGTGTCACCTTTAGTAATGTTGGAAAGATATACATGTTGAGGCCACTGATCCAGTTATATAACTTTGATTCATTGTTTACCAACAAAAGACCAATGCACCTACCCAATTTATATGTCATAAAATAATAGAATGAATGGCCCTTTGTCAATCCACTGCTGGATGAAGCCCTCCCCACTCTGTGCCAGTCATCGGGGTTGTTTGACCATGCTTTGCCATGGTGAAGTGGGAACAGTTCAGATATTACTCGTCACTGATGTTAACCGTGGCTAACACCATGGTGGCTGGGTTCAGAGCACTGGG